TATTTCTGTGCTCAGTTGCATCTGACTGTTTGCAGCCGCGTGAACTGTAGCCCACCAGGTTCCTCTGTCGATGGAATTTTCCAGGCAAGAATACTGGAGCAGGTTGCCATTTCCTACTCTAGGGGATCTTCTTGACCCAGGGATCTAACCATTGTCTCTTGCACCTCCTACATTGGCAGGCAGATTCTTTACCACTATGCCACCTGGGATTCTAGTATCATTTGTAACAGAGTTCATATTTCATTTAGAATGTAGTTAGGAAAACTGGAAAAGAAAAGTTAGGAGCCTTGGAAGTTAGTTACATTTTCCTTACCTTCTCACAGTCATTACCATATCCTGTTATTTTTATCTCTAATTTCTCAAATATGCCTTTCATTCATACAGTCTTGATCTAGACCTTGGTTTAGGCCTTTTACATCTCTTACCTGGGTTTTCATCACTTTATAATTAGTCTCCTTGCCTCCAGTTTCTTGCCTCTATGAGTTCCTTTCAAACCTGATCCAAAAGTTAATTCTTTCCTTAAAAAAAAAAAAGTTAATTATATAAATAATATGTCTAAGGACAAAAAAGGAACATTTACTGATAAGGTATTACCTTATTATCAGATAATACTATTACTGCTCCTATCCCAACCCTTCTCCTGTCCTCCCAACTCCCTGAAAAATCTGCAGCTTGCTTTTTTCCATATAGTATATCTTAGAGATCTATGTTCATCTATTAGATATATCTCATTTTTAAAACTTCCTTATGTTATTCCATAATTTGAATAAAGGATGTTTAATACTTTTTGTAATTTCTATTTTGATTTCCTATTTAAGTATTGAGACATTTTTCCCCTCAGATGGCATAATCTTTATAAAATGCACATGAAAGATGTCTGTGTATCCCGCCTTAAAAAAATCAAATGCTCCCCCAAGGCCTATAGAAGACAGCATAAACTCGAATGTGTCCAGGACTAGGCTTGTAGAAATAGCTGGGCGACAGACTGAAGGGTATGGGGGAATTGACTACTGGAGAGTTCAGACATACCAACAGAACCCCCGTTCTGCTGACCAAACAAGAACCTTTGCCACCAGGTTTCAATTTATCATCCGTTAACAGGCCAACAAAACACTACAGCTAACTTACTAGCTGCTACATCCTCCTCCTAGAACACCGAATCTGCTCTTAGGTTTCTCTGATTTTGCACCTGCTGCAGTCTTTCTCTCCCTGCCAGAAGAATACAGTTTGTCCTTTGAGATCCAGTTTGTATACCACTACCTCTTCCATGAAACCTTTCTTGTACCTTCTCTAATACGTTCAGTCTTTATTACTGCTCTTATTATATACCTCTGTAATAATTTCTGTACCTCTCTATTGGCTCATCTAGGGTTTGATTCCCTCCTGCCAGGTGCTACCTTATTCACCTTGATCTTCTTGGCCCTGGCAAGTGTTTTGTGCACATGCACACAAACACACATATATTTTTGAGGCATTCTGTTTTTGTTGAGTGAATAATACTTTTATTAATTGAAGAATGGCCATAGGGAGGACCAGAATCCAAACTGATTACTACATAATTATGTGGTTAGCATGAAAGTTGGTATTACTCAGACTACCACTGTCTGATTTTATCAAACTTAGGTTAACTTACTTGATTTTTAAAAAAAATTATTTCATTTTAATGTCACTGAAATGAATGTGCGTGACATATAGACCATAAAAGGGATTTTGAAATGAAAGTAAGTGTTTTACTACTAACTCTCCTTAACTAAAGAAATATTTTACACATCTAGTCCTTAGGCTCTAGCTGCACAGTAATACTTTTTGCTACTTTTACTCTAATAGTAGAAATTTTAAAAATACTTAAAAATCAACTCAAAACTGTTTTAGTTCTGTTCTCTCCAGATTATCAACCTGCCTTGGCCATCTCTAACTCGGTCCAAGCACTACCATTGATTTTTGTTAGTTTATATCCCTTCTTCCTGTTTTGTGACCTAGCCACTACCATTTAAAAAAAAATATTTGTTTGTTTGGCTGTGCTGGGTCTTAGGTGCAGCATGTAGAATCTAGTTCCCTGATCAGGGATAGAACCTGGGCACCCTGGATCGGGAGCATGGAATCTTGACCACTGGACCCCCAGAGAAGTCCCTGGCCATTACCATTTTAAGAGTTCATATTCTGTGTACTTTGACATGAAATGATTCTTCACCTTACTTATATATTCTAACTCCTTCCATCTCTAGCTAGGAAGTGGAACAGAGTGCTAGGATGAGAAATAAGCCATAATACTGGTAGAACATATTTACATATATCCACATTTCATATTGCTCTCAAAACAAATTTGTATTGTTAGCCTAGAGCAGTTGTTTGATCCTAGAACATACAGCACTTTGGTTGCCAAGTACAATACTTTATTCCTTTGCCCAGGCAGGTTAGGAAATAATTACCCTTAAATTAGGTGAAATATGGCTTTCAAATATTTCAGCTCTTCCATGGTGTTTTCAGATGTGTTACGATAGAATTCCTGAATACTAACTTTTTAAATGTTCAAATTCCTATATAAAGAATTAAAATCACTACAGCTTTGATACAATGACTTCTTTTAGTGTTGTCCTTGTATTTGTATGTTGGTATGACTTAGAATTTTGTGACTCATATGTTGGCTTCCCAGGTGGCACTAATGGTAAAGAACCTGCCTGCCAATGCAGGAGACATAAGAGCTGCTGGTTCGATCCCTAGGTTGGGAAGATACCCTGGAGGAGGAAATGGCAACCCACTCTAGTATCCTTGCCTGGAGAATCCCATGGACAGAAGAGCCTGGCAGGCTACAGTCCATGGAGTCGGGCAGAGTGAGACACGACTGAAGCGATTAGCACCAGCGCCAGCACCATGTTGATTTTTAAAGTAGTTGGCGGATTACCACTGTACATGGCACCTAGCTGTCAGGCACCAGAGAGCCTCAACCTCTGGTTTTCTAAGCTCTGCCCAGAAGAGCACTGTGTCACTCAAGGTCAGACTCCATCTAGGGTTTTGACAGCCTCTGTTCCTTTTCATGACTTGGAAGGCCTTGTCTGTCCTTCAGCCACTGCCTCCTCTGGACATCAGTTATGACACCACTGAACAGTAATGGGGCTGCTGTTCTCCTAGTCTTTGGTTCAAAATCCGAGTCATTTTTGAGTTTTCCCTTACTCTTACTCCAGCCAGTCATCCTGCTTGTTGACATGACTCATCAACTCTCATGAGCCCTGGTCACTTCCTTCCTCGTCTCACTGCTCCCACTCTAGGTCATGTAAGAACACCCCGTGTTCCCCACCCCACTCCCACTCTGAACCATCTTCATCCACTAAGTAGCTGAATTGTCCTGAAACAAACTGTTCTGCTTATGTTTTGACCTCAGAAACCTTTTACTGGCAATTGCATGTATACACATTCACACACACACACACATACACATATATATCCCCCATTGGCAGATGGATGAAACCAAGTTTTATCCCAGTATTTGGTGTCTTCCACATTGCCTATTAATCTTTTTAGTCTCATTGCCCACTCTTTACCCCACAGTGTGCTGTAGCTCCTGGCCGTCCTAGAACTTGATTGGGACTTTTTTTTTAACCTCAGCCCATATCAGTCCCTTTGCACACCTGAAGTGATCTCTCCTGCTTCTTAAACACTCCCTGGACTTTATTTGTTTCATCTTATGCCATGTTATTGCCCACGTAGTGCTTTACAACTGACCAAAGTACTTTTGAATCTATGACTTTATTTAGTCTTCACAACCAGTCCATGAGGTATGTCTTATCACAAAGGATGAAACCAACACTTGAGAAGCAAAGAGTGACCTGCTCAAGTTTTCAACTAAAACTAACATCTTAAGGTTAAGACAGAAATCCAAGCCTTCAGGAACATAAGCCCCAAGCTTTGTTCATTACTGCCTTTCTTGTTGCCTGAGTCTGTACTTAAATACAAGTTTGAATACATCTCTTTCCAAATTGTCAGCAAGTTACTTAAAGTTATATATGATTCCCCCAGAACACATATTAATATATGAATGAGCCCCTTCATATTTTAAATGTAATGCAGTTTAATGTTCTTTCTCTGTAAAAATCATGCTTCCCCTTTTGAGCCTTATTTTCCCATCATTTTATTTTTTAAAGTAGATGTGAAACTTACTTAATATATTACAAGTAATAAACCTAGAGCTTTATGTAATGAATTTAATTGCCCTACATTGTTGCCTTTGGAAGTGTCATATGAGAAATTTCTTGGAGAGCCAAGTGGTTGGAAAAGTGTTGCTTCCATGAGACATTGCTTTGTGTTCTCCTTTTAGACAGTGAAGACAATGCAACTGACCTCTCCATTTTCAGATTGGCCTTTAGGAAGCTCAGAGCCAAATCAGTAATCCATCATTCATCATATATCCCTCAGTCATACAGCTGTATAGATCCTTATTCTCATCATAAGTTTTCCCTCTTTTTATACTTTAATAGTGACTTCCTGTTGTAGTTTGCATAGTCCTGATTGCAAATTTATATTTTATCATTTTCTTGCATCTTTCCCAAAAGTCAACTAAAATTCTTTGAAGTGGGTTATAAGTACTCTAGCCTTTATTAATTTTAAAAGTTCACAATAGAAGTGTAAAAAATTTGTCATTCTACCTATTAGACTATGAACTCCTTGAGACCAGTGTTCTAGATTCCTTTCCGTATTCATGAACCTAGCATAACCCCCAGTTAGTGTGCTTAGATGTAAATTGGAAACTAAGAGTTATAAATATCAGTAGGATCTTGGCTAGAAATTACAAACTGTAAATAACTAATGCCCCCTTAACTCTGTACCCTCTTCTCAGAGTGAGGATGAGACCAACTTCCTGGCTCTGAAGTAAGATTGGTCTTTATTGAAATCCATTAAAACAAGTTAAAAGTTTTCAAAACAGGAAGTTTGTGTTTGTTTTTATGTTATAGTGTGGGATTTTTTTCCAATGTAACCTCAAGATGACTTTTTATCTCTTTTTCCAGATCTTTGTAGAGTTTGATGGCTGTAACTGGAAGCAGCACTCCTGGGTTAAAGTTCACGCTGAAGAAGTTATTGTACTTTTGCTGGAAGGGTCTCTAGTATGGGCACCTCGGAAGGACCCAGTCCTTATCCAGGGCACTCGAGTCTCAATTGCACAGTGGCCAGCCCTGGTGAGTGACTTTTATTGGCTAGAAACATATTTGGGCTTTATTCCTATTCTATATGGTATTTATGCAATAGCTGAACTCTTTAGCATTCCCCAGACTCTAATGCTTTGTCCTTAACAGGCTTTTATTCTGAAGTTACTAAAGCAAAAATTGGGAGAGATCTCTTCTCCTGTGCTTTCTGAAATGTTTTATATTAAGTAACACTTGATACTTTGTTTCTAAATAATTTTTCACCTTTCTTTTCTCATAATAATATTATAAAACAATGTAGTTCTTAAAGTCTGTTTTTTTCCCATAGAAACTGTTTTGTTTCCAGCTTTAGTGAGGTAGAATTGACATATAACATTGTATAAATCTGTGTACAAGGTGATGATTTTATATTTATAGTGAAATAATGATTACAGTAAGGTTAACAGTTCTATGTCTCACATAGTTACATTTTTGTGTATGTGGTAAGAACTTTTCTTTTTTAGCTTTGCAGAACAAGAACATTTTAAAAATCTCAGTAAAGTATAATAATCTCATTGTTTTATAGAGTACCTTCCTACATATTATCTAATTTGCTTCTCACAATACATACATAGTAAGAACTTTTAAGATTTGCTCTCTTAGCAACTTTCAAGTATACAGCATAGCGTTATTAACTATAGTCACCGTGCTGTACATTAGATCCTCAGAATTTACTCTTCTTATTACTGTAGCTTATACCCTTTGACCACTTTTACCCATTTCCCACATTCCCCCTACCCCTGGCAGGCACCAATATATTCTGTGTCTATGAGTTCAGTTGTTTTATATTCCACATGTAATTGAAATCATACCATATCTGTCTTTCTCTGTCTGACTTATTTGACTTAGCATAGTGCCTTGGAGATTCAGCTGTGTTGTTGTAAATGGCAGGATTTCCTCCTTTTTTATGGCTGAATAATGTTTCCTTGTGTATAATATTTGTGTGTGTGTGTATGCACTGCATTTTTTTTATCCATTCATTCACCACTGGACACGTAGGTTGTTTCCTTGTTTTGGCTGTTGTAAATATCGCTGCAGTGAACATGAGGGTACAGATATCTCTTCAAGACAGTGATTTCGTTTCTTTTGGATAAAGACTCAGCAGTGGGATGTTGAATCACATGGTAGTTTCTGTTTTTAATTTTTCTGAGGAACCTCTGTACTGTTCTCTGTAGTGGCTGCACCAGTTTACATTCCCACTGATGGCACAAGGGTCCCCTCCTCTTTGTGTTTCATTTAGGTATGAGGTGATTGATTACTCATTGTGGTTTTGATCTGCATTTCCCTGAAGTTAGTGAGGTTGAGCCCCTTTTCATGTACCTGTTGCCCATTTGTCTGTTTTTAGAAAAATATCTATTCAGGTGATATGCCCATTTTTAAATCAGACTATTTGTGAGGAATTTTTTGTTTTTAGCATTTTAAATCACCCATTTATTAGTTGGAAAAGTTAGAAGCATAGACACTTTGTGTACTACTTCTTAGCTCAGACTCTCACAAGGCAAAAATCTAGTTCTCCTATGACTAACCAAATTAAATAATGCTCAAAACAAACATTTTTAACCTATTGATTTTACATATCATCACCTACTGAACTCTTTTCATTTGTTTTTAAAGCCACTTTCCAGTTGAACTTTTATTTATTTATTTATTTTCCAGTTGAACTTTTAGAAGAAGCTCAAATTGATCTTGGTCCCTGGGTGACTTTTGTAGGCAGATTATTTAAGAAACACTAAATAGGAATTTACCCATGCATTTTTATATCACTGATCATTTTAGAAATCTCACAAAGGTTTCAGGAGTTCTAGAGATGATAATGGTGTAACTCTTTATTCTGAGAGCTTACTGTAATGTAACCTTCTTTAAGCCTGACAAGATTAGTTAGATTGCAAAAGAGAATGAGGAATTTCTTATTCTTATCCTTTTTAGCTGTTAATAAGGCTATTGAGCTGACTTTATGCTCTAGTTTGCTTCATATGATTATTTGAGGACAGATGGTGGGTTAGGAATGACTCTCAGAACTTATGCTTTAGCTTATCTGAATTTACTGAGGTGAAAGATATATATTAATAATGGATATTTTCTTTGCAGCTAGATATTCAGTTTAATTGTCATTTATTTTCTCTCCCAAGTACTAATCTATTTCTTGTCATTGTATTTCACAGACTTTCACTCCCCTGGTAGATAAACTCGGTTTGGGTTCTGTGGTTCCAGTTGAATACCTTCTGGATCGGGAGCTTCGTTTCCTGTCAGATGCTAATGGGTTGCATTTGTTTCAGGTACGTATCAGTTGGTCTAGTCCTGAATTTATTTCTCTCCCTGCTAATTTCTCTGTTGATTATAAATAGAGTGTTTCCTCTTCTCTTTTAATGTTGAAGCAAGTACTTTCTCCCAGTAATTCCATGTGCTTTTTTTTTTTTTTTTAATCCATGTGCCTTTTAAAGTTTCTTTGCTCCCTTGAAAAGTACATTTGGTGACTGAGGCTTCTTTTCTCCCCTCCACACCCCCACCTTACCCTAAAACCACTTTACACTTAAGACCACAGTTCCACAGAAGTAGTGACTTTCCAGAGGTGTCTGCTTCTGTAACTTGTCTGAGAAGGGCCTATACCTTTGCCAGTGGCAGGGAGGCTGGGAATTTGGGCTGGTTCCAACCAACATTAAATACTGAAGAGCTTAGATACATTTTTAGTTACAAAAAAGGGATAGGTTAGTAGTTTAAATAAGCTAGTATCTGAGTTAGAGTTTCAGAATTTATGGATGATAATATTTATTTCTCACAAGAGTTATTGTCTGAACATTAAAATTTAGGAGACTTCCAAGAGTTTTGCTGTCTTATTGAGGCAGCCAAGAGCAATGTTTACTAAACTGTGTTTTGTGAAATATTTTTTCTTTTCTTTTCTTTGTTTTGTGAAATATTAATGATGATTTTTTATTTTTTTTGTCAAAATGTCTTCCTGCCTCATTAGGCCTCACTCCCTCTCATCAGTCTTGTTTTATTCATCTTTGTAATCCTAGTGCTTGTATGAATAGGCTCTCAGTGATGTGGATAAGTATCAAAATAACAAGATTTACAGGGAATAAAATGTTTTACAGTCAAATAAGTATGAAGAACATTTACCTAAACATGCTTTTTTCCTACATGTCTTCTCAGAGCCTTTAAATGTACTATTGTATGTAGAAAGATATAGTATGCTGTTGTCCCTTTAACAACACAGGTTTTAACTACATTGGTCTACTTAGTGTATGGATGTTCTTCAATCAATATAGTACCTATAAATTAAGATGACTTTTTTTCACTGTGTCTTTTCATTTAGATGTCTAATGTTAGTAATACTTTTGACATCTGTAGTGTTTTGTTTTATATAAGGCAGTCTTTTTTTTTTTCCGGCTATGCTGGGTCTTCGTTGCTGTAGAGGCTTTTCTTTAATTGCGGCAAGTGGGGGCTACTCTCTAGTTGCGGTGTGTGGGCTTCTCATTGTGGTGGCTTCTCTTGTTGCGGAACATGGGCTCTAGGGCACACAGGCTTCAGTAGTTGCAGACCACAGGCTCTAGAGCACAGGCTCAATAGTTGTGGTGACATGTAGGATATTTCCAGATCAAGGGCCAAACCCGTGTCTTCTGCATTGGCAGATAGATTCTTTACCACTGAGCTACCAGGGAAGCCCTGAATAAGGCAGTCTTGATGTAGTGCATTGACAGATAGTTCATCTTGTAAACAGACATCATGAACATAGGGTATCAATAAATACATATAGTACTCTCTTCCTCAAGATTTCAGTATTCTCTTTTCTCTTGCTTACTTTATTATAAGAATACAGAAAAATATATATGATATACACAATATATGTCAATCAACTATTTATGTATCAGTAAGGCTTCCAATCAACAGTAAGCTATTAGGAGTTAAGTTTTGGGTGAGTCAAACATACACAGATTTTTGACTGGATGGGTTGGGGAAGCAGTTGATGTCCTGCCGCCTTCCCACCTTCTTCAAGGGAGGTATAATATTTCCTAAACCTAAATGATTGTAGCATCTTTAACTTTTGTAGAGCATCTTGTAGTCAGACTAGGGTTCTTTGGAACATTTTGATATATGCTGATGTAGAGCTCCTCAAGGGTATAATTTTTCTCTTCTGGTTAGATATTATTGCTATTTATTTCAGTATTCAGTTGTTTCTTCTTTTATCTTTACTAGATGGGAACAGATAGCCAAAACCAGATTCTTTTGGAACATGCTGCTCTGAGAGACACAGTTAATGCTTTGATCAGTGACCAAAAGCTACAAGAGATATTCAGCCGAGGTAAGAATAGTCTTCTGTCCTTGAATTCTGAATCGGGTGTATGGCCAATGTTGAAAGTGATAGAATGGGGAAAACACCATGCAACTCTTAAAACATCTGTGCTTATCTTCTTTTTGTGGGTAGTGTCACAAGTAACTCTAGTTAGCTGGATCTCTAGAATGGATTGGAAAAATAGGATCTCCCTCCAACCAGTTTCCTTTTTGTATTATCTTTCATAATATGCAATTTTGTCTTTTTAAAAATTTCTTTATTTCTTAAATATTTAGTAAGGACTAACCTTGCAGTCGACACAGTGTTAAGGTACTGGGATTTAACCACAAGCTAGAAAATCTCTGCCCTTGTTAAGCATACTGTCTTGTAAGGTTCAGTGGACCAAAGACTATTAACACCAACAAATAACAACTTAGAATGTAAGGTATGTTCATAAAGGAAGGTGTCCACAGACTCATTCACATTAAGAGCATGTTAACTTTTAAGAATGAAAACAAAAGAGATTTATTAACTTTTTCATTTTACATACAGATTTTGCCCAAGATTGTACACAAAGGGTAGACTCTGGCTTCATTTATCCTTCCCTTCATGTTGTACATCTGCTCTTTGTCCTTCCTGACCTCATGACAATAATGATTTTCAGTGAAATAGGGCTCTTGTTTCTCTTTTGTCAAACTAAATCTAAATAGGTAAAGGTAGGAAAACTGGCCTCTTTGGAGAAGGGATGTATCAGTGTGAAATGATGTCTAATGATCAAGGAAAGGTATGAGAGAGGAAAGACAGTGAGGAAAAATAGGTAGGAGTGAGAAGGAAATCAAAGGACAGGATAAGATGTAGACATATATATGAATGTGTATAGAAAAATTAAGCTTAATTATAGCTCTGAAAGATAATTAAAATAAGCAATGATTTAACTATATAGTCTCAAATGTATAAGATATGTAGGAGAGAGAAACTGTTTTTCTTAGAGGGCCAGCTGAAATTGTAGGGTAACATTACCTGCTGAAAAAGTAATATCTTTGAAACTCTATGTTCTTAGGAAGACAGGTGCTATATTTGTTCAGATTATTATTAGAGCAGAGGCTGGAAACCTCATAAATTGAATTCTCCACCTACTGTATTGAAAGTAAGATAGCAAAGGGCAAATGGTTATGTGTCATTCCTATGCTAACATAACAAAATAGTACATTCAACTTACTAGCCTACTTTTTTTAAGTATATATCAGATAGATCTGTGTATATTTTCATATTATCTATAGTTTTTGACTTGTAAGTTGCCTTTCTCTTTCCTATATTACTTCTCGAATTGGAAGATTGAGGCAGAACCTAGGATATTCTAAGAAATCTCCAAATAAAATTTACAAAAGTCACTGGGAAAAACTATGTTTTATTTTTAAATTGCTGTGTATAGTAAGTCTGAAATTGCTCATTTATTCAACTCCATACAAGAGGATTGAAAATGCCAATAAGTCTTCTTTCTGTTTCTGATTTTTAGGAATAATCATGAAATACAGCTTAGCCAAAAATATTCAGTACTGACTGATCTCTTCTTTAGGTCCCTACAGTGTTCAAGGTCACAGGGTCAAAGTATACCAGCCAGAGGGAGAAGAAAGTTGGCTCTGTGGTGTTGTAAGTCATCAAGACTCCATCACCCGTCTTATGGAGGTGTCTGTAACTGAGGTGAGGCTCTGTGTTATTTTGTCTGCGGTCCATCCATCCCCTTACCATAGGTGGTATGGAGTAAGGGAGCACTTCATTACATGTAAGAAGAGTTGGGTTCCATCTCTGGCTTTATCACTTTTGATTCTATCACCTTGAGAAAGGCTGTTCTACTTTTTCAACCTCAGTGTTCTCATCTGTAAATTAGATGTAATTAGGTAACCACCCTTGGCCTCACAGTATGTGTTTTGGGAACTAAGATGATGTATTCAAAAGTGCTTTGAAATCTTTAGAACAGTAGACAGATGTGAAATGCTATTATCATTATTTTATCATATTCATAATGTTTATTATTTACAGATCTAATAAATTAGCATTTGCTTCTATAATACTTACGCCACTGTCTCCTAGATGCTGATAAAATGAATTGTTTTCTAAGGAAATAAGTAGAAAAAACATAGCATCTATAACTACCTGGAGAATTATCTATCAAAAACAAGAGTATTTTGAGGCAAACACATATGTATTATAACACCTTTGAATTGGTTTCAGACTTGCCCTCAGCAGTCACATGTAATATGAGCATATGATTTTAGTTATTTCTTTATTTACTTTATTAAATTATTCAATCTTCATTTACAAATTTCAAGTGATACACATATATATAAAATAGATCGTGAAAGCCATCCCTTCCCATAGGCAAATATTACTCCTGACAGTGGTACTCACCATTAACAGTTTGGTATATATTCCATATTCTTCCAAATACTTTCTCTCTATGTGTGTATATGATATTTTTATACTGTCTTATTTACTTAAGAACTGTATAAATCATACTGTACTAACAAATGGGATCATATGATACATGTAGTTCTTTGATTTAAGTTTTTAACTTAATTTTAATTTATTAGCATCATTCTCTGTAAATATATATAGAAATCTACTTCATTCTTTAAAAACAGATACATACTATCCACTGAATTGATGTATTATAACTAATTTAATTTAAAATTGATGGACATTTAAAAATCATTTCCAGTATTTTACTAATACAAATAATGCCTCAGTGAATATACTTGAGCATATATCATCATACATTTTTCACATTATTTATTTATTGAAATAAATTCCCAAGTGTGTAATTGCCAGGTCAAAGGATATACACATTAAATCTGACAGTATCTGTCAAATTGGCCCCTGCCAAAACCTTTAGTTTTTTTTCTGAAGGTTTCTTTTTTCTTTTAAATTTTATTATTTATTTACATTTATTTTTGGCTGTGCTGGGTCTTCGTTGCTGCAGGGTCTATGGGCTACTCTCTAGTTGCGGTATGCAGGCTTCTCATTGTGGTGGCTTCTCTTGTTACAGAGCTCTGGCTCTGACACTGGCAGGGCTTCAATAATTTAAGCACATAGGCTCAGTAGTTGTGGCTCCTGGGCTCTAGAGCACAGGCTCAGCAGTTGTAGCTCACAGACTTAGTTACCACAGCATGTAGGATCTTCCTGGACCAGGGATCAAACCCGTGCCTCCTGCATTGGCAGGTGGATTCTTCACCAGTGAGCCACCAGGAAAGTTCATTTTTTTGTTTGTTTGTTTTTTTAATTACAGAATAGGAAGGTTTTAGAGATGCAGAATTTGAAATTAGTAACCCTAAAGGAGACAATTGAGCGTTGAACTCAATTTTTTCATTCATTCATTTAACAAATATTTGAGTGCTTGCCATATTCTAGACCTTGTTTCAAATGTTGTTATTCCGGCAGTGAATTAAATAATAGAGATCCCTATTCATGGAGCTTTCATTCTATCAGGGAAGTAGAAACAAATAGAGATAATTGCATAGATTATGTAAGAAAAAATACATAATTATGTCTTTGGTGGGCAGGCATTAAATCTTTCTCCTCTATTTCTATCCCCCTCCTTCTATAGAGTGGTGAGATCAAGTCCGTAGATCCCAGACTGATCCATGTGATGCTCGTGGATAATTCGGCGCCTCAGAGCGAGGTACAGTAATAGAGTGAGTCTCTGAGCAGACTCATGAGCTTGCATTATCTTGTTACATAGACTTCATTATGTGTGTGTTATCCATGTTAATAGGTTTGGGTTTCAAGCTCTGACCACTGTACAGTTCTTGCTCCCTCTCACAGTGGAGGGAGGATAATCTCGAGAAAGAGACCTAGTCTGAGCAAACCCTTTTCATTATGGCTATGTTGCCTAACTGTTTTAAAATGGCCTACCTTTTTCTTACATTTTTTTAGGACAGGTATATTTAAAAGATACAATAGACAAAGCTGTATTAATAAGCGGTAGTAGTAATCATGACCTACCCAGTAATAAGAAATGGAGAAGAAGCTACATCCTTTTTTCTTTCCATTAGGTGGTAGTGAGCTCCAAGGAAATCTGAAATTTCGTATCCCAAGAAGAGTTCAAACTAAACTAGTGCCTAGTTCAGTGCTCAGCACACAGTGGATTACTCCATAGTTTCTGAATCAGACCAACTCTTGGTTCATTCAGAATTATCATAACCCATTAAAAGACGCATTGTAAATCAGTGCCTGAACCAATCAAGGAATCCTGTATGAATTTCCTTCAGTAGGACATTGACTTGGACAGCCATCTGCCCATATATTCCTCATAGTTTTCTTAGCACCTGTGTTTGTATTGCTCTCTTGGCTGCTCCTGCTGGGTATACAGTTCTTCCTCTTCTTTATCCAGTCATTTTGGTTGATAAAACAAGATTGGGGTAGGAAAAGAAGAATTGGTAAAATTTAATAGTTCTTTACTACATATTATATTATTACAAATAGGATAAGTCTCTTGATTGTGTTTCCATGGCTGAAAAACACTTGTTACTTTGATGCTGTATTGGGTCCCTTTTTTATTTCCTTCCTCATTTCATTTGTTCTTTAAGCACCTATTATATGCTAGGTACATTTAGATTGTGCCATATATAGCTAGGGAGTACTGGTCTGAGTGTTCTAATCTACTCACATGTGAGTAGCTCACCATTAGTAGGACATACATATAAGTTGTTGCTCAGGGAAATTGCTGTGAGCCAGGCTCTGTAAGTTGGCTGAATGGGTTAAAGGTGAGATCTTTGGTTTTCAGCAACAGACGTTGATTCTTCTGTTTTCAGCTTTGCCATGGTGTGACTATCTTCTTAGCTAGAAAAATACAATTATTGACAGATCTGCCAAGTTTTACAGTAACGCTTCTTAGAGATCCAAGTTCACCTCATTTTCTTGGAAAGAGTGAGAAAGAAAGGAGATTTCAGTGATCATACTTAAATACTTCACAGCACTGAAAACTGAGTGATGATAGAGGTTGAAGAACGGGTAAAAAGATTTTTAAATGATCAAATGAAAATAATTTTTAACAAACAGAAACAGTTCTTAAATGAAAGATTTAGAAACTTAGATTAATATTACCAAAAGTATGGGAGAAATAAGTAAATCTTGAGCTCTGGTTAATGTTTTCAGAAGGAAATTAAGGGGGAAAAAATGAAGACAGAAAAAAAAGAAGAGAAAACTAGCAAGAAGAAATGAAAAATTTGAAAAAAATTCAGTTATAAGAGCTATAATAATTGATTACAACAAAGATACAGATCTGCACAAAGAATCTATATGTATTCAAGGGCAATGAGAGTCGATTAATCAAACTGGTAAATAATAACAGCCAAATAACTATGTCACTAGCTTATTGCCACCCCAGCACATTATCTAAATGAAACTATCTGAAAGTTAGCTAAATGCAGCTAAAAAGAAATAATAGGATATCAATCTAAGAATGTTCCAGGTATACGTTGCCTGAGAGAGTGTTAACTGTGTCCCAAGCCCCTGTCCTCTTGTCCTTCTCAGGGAAATAGTTTTCACTCAGAGATAGGAATTGCCCCCTTCTAATTCTGTGTCTTTTAAGGTTACTGACCTTTCAAATAAGGCTAAATAAGATTTCATGAGATAGGATGAAATTACTAAAAGAGCTAAGAGATTTGAGTTTTTGGTTATGGTAGCCTGCCTTTTTAGTTTTCCCCCTGCTTGTATCTAATGCTTTCAAATAAGATCTGGAAATTGTTTGTGTTCTTTATAGTGTCCATAAGAGCAACTCAAACCTGTCTCTGTTGGGCTCACTTTTCCTCTGGTCACAGACTCATAAGTGTTCCTTTTCCTATTGTTAAGTTGTCACCAGTTTTTAGTGACTTCTGGATAGAGGAGATTTTTGTATTTCAATACTTTCCAGTTTCTGTCAAACAAGGAGATAAATATAAAGCAGATTTTTTTTTCCCCCACCAAGGGGCAAGTAAGTTCCCAGACTAGCTTTATCAGTCCATTTTGTAAAAGAAATTCCACAAATTTTTAAAATCCTGAAAAAAGTCCATTTAAGAAAGGAGTACATTTCATTTAAGGGAAGTTTTGCCAAGTGAGTTAACCTCTAGTAACTATTATCTTGAATATGTGTGTGTAAATTGAACCACAGGAAGATTGGAACTTTTTAACAAAGGGGATGTCTTAGAGCTGGCATTGGAATTTGGCAATCTGTCCCAGCTTTGATTGTCTGCTTCTAGAGATGGGAAAGAGCTAATGGTTTATGGTTTCACAGGATGGAAAGTCCCTTGTAATAAATCTTTTTTGAATTTTGTTTTGTAGGGGGGTACGTTAAAAGCAGTAAAATCTTCCAAAGGAAAGAAGAAGAGAGAGAGCATAGAGGGGAAAGATGGCCGGAGGAGGAAAAGTGCTTCGGACTCTGGGTGTGACCCTGCATCAAAGAAATTGAAAGGAGACAGGGGTGAAGTAGACAGTAATGGGAGCGATGGAGGCGAGGCAAGCCGAGGGCCCTGGAAAGGAGGGAATGCCAGTGGAGAGCCAGGGCTGGATCAGAGAACCAAGCAGCCACCGACTACATTTGTCCCCCAGATTAACCGCAACATTCGCTTTGCCACTTACACCAAAGAAAACGGCAGGACTCTGGTGGTGCAGGATGAGCCTGTGGGTGGGGACACACCTCTACCTTTCACTCCGTATTCTACAGCCACAGGTCAGACACCTTTGGCCCCAGAGGTGGGTGGAGCCGAAAATAAAGAGGCAGGAAAAACACTGGATCAAGTTGGCCAGTGTATGGTGGCTTCAGCAGCTGTGGTCACTACCGCCAGCTCCACCCCAACCACGGTGAGGATCTCAGACACTGGCCTTGCAACAGGGACTGGGCCGGAAAAACAGAAAGGCAGCTGGTCGCAGGCCCCAGGAGAGGTGAGTTGTTTCAGGGGCAGATTTGCAAGATGTGGGTTCACACTTTCACCCTACTTTGTTCTTAACACATTAAAAAGCATCTCAGATGCCATAGGAAAGGAGTATTTCTGAGATGTGTTTAAATTGTATTCTGTGGATAGTCCTTTACTGCTTGTTGGACAAATGTGTATATTCTTAAAACTTTCTCAGCTCTTAAAAGTCACCTGAACAGTTGGGCTAATCAAAACTTGATTATACAATCCAATTTAATGTGTCATTAAAATAGATCTAATGGGGAATCTTTTAAATTCAGTTATCTATTTATTTAGTTCGTGTAGTGGTTTAGCCTCCACCAGGCCTTTGAGAGGCAAGGTTAATGAATTATAGTGTTGGAAACAGTGAACACTATAATTAGGGCTATGTGAAAGCTACTATTTCCAACCCATTTTCAGTTCATCATTTTCTATATTTTCCTTTGAGGCTGGGCCGCTTTGATAGGACCATAGAAGGTTTTTTTCCCCTCTTAACTTAATCTTTTAAGCCTTACTTGGAAATTTTGATGGAATTAATCGTGGTAGTATCCAGCTTGCTAGGTTCTTTATCTGATATGCATATATTGTTGCTGAAATGGAACTTTTGTTAAATAAATTTAACATCAAGTTGGCTCCCCAGTCAAATTTGAAACAGTATCAAAATCAGTTCTTATATTCTTTTGGCTCTTATTTTGGTCACCAAAGTATGATTAATGACACTGGCCATATTTTCTTTTCAAATTGGCTATTAATTCAAACTGAAATATGAAATACAAATAAAATACTAAATGACTTATAAATTATGTATAAGAAACTACTGTGTGCTAAGTACTGTATATTATAAACAAAGAATTGAAATCCTATTTAAAGGAGCTCACATCCTAAAATGGAATCATTTTATAACAGTGTCATATAAAACATGGCATATACATTTCATCTGACTTCTTCCCCTCCATAGCAGATCCAGTTTCTTAATCTCTGGTGTGCAGGGATGGGGAGGGAGGTGAAGTGCCAAGGCGGAAGAAGAGAAGGCCTGTAAATACAAAGTTTACAGTCTTCATGATTTGTTCTCTGTTAGTTTACCAGCATTCCCAAGAGAACTAGGTGGAGATCTTATGTGGATTTCTCCTCTGTTTAAGTCATCATATTGCCCACATTGATTAAAATTAGATCCATGTCAAAGGCAGAATAGATGTAAATGGGGATTACAAAACAGAGCAAATATTACATGCTTCACGAAGAGATCCACTGAATACTGTTGTTCTTGAAGTAGCAAATCTGAATAGGTGAAGTGCAGATTCAGAGGGCATTTTCCAAGCAGGTCTGAGAAATTTCTGTGACTGTATCAGTAACTTTACTAGTGGGTTAGCCTAGGTATTCTCTTGGGATATGATTTAAAAGTCCAGAAATGGATGTTTCCATCATGAACCAGGGACACAGCCCTCAGGAAACTTCCTGCCCTAAAAATTGTGTTGAAATCAGTTTGTCATCACTTTCTTATAAGAAAAGGATTTGAAATTTAATCAGTTGTAGGAAAATGAAAGAGCATCCAATTATTTTTCATTCATGTGTGTAATTTTTATATAATTTTATTTATTTATTATTTAATATTTTTGGCTGTGCTGGGTCTTCATTGCTGCACTGTCTTTTCCTCTAGTTGCAGTGAAAGGGCTTTTTACTGTGGTGACTTCTCTGGTTGCAGAGCATGGGTTCTGGGTGCTCAGACTTCAGTAGTTGAGGCACATGGGCTCAGTAGTTTCTGCTCCTGGGGTCTAGAACACAGGCTCAGTTGTGATGCACAGGCTTAGTTGCTCCACGACCATGTGGGATACTCCTGGATTAGGGATGGAACCCATGTCTCCTGCACTGGCAGGAGGATTCTTTACCACTGAGCCACCAGGGAAGTCCATGTGTGTGTTTATTTTTAGAGAGTAACTTTAGTAGTGAAACCTGAGATCCTTATGCTCATTCCTTGCAGTCATGCAGGTGTCAAGGTACCTGGCCAGATCCAGCCAGTGACACAACAGCATAGCGTCAGTGCTGTGTCTGTCTATTCTCTTCTTTTTATTTGGAGGAGTTTTAAGTCAGTGGTTTTTGGTTAGTGGGAAGGAAAAGTAAAAAGGAGCATGAACTGGAGTGGGGGCGGGGGTGGAAAAAAAAAAAAAAAAGGAGCATGAACTAACTTACTGAAATGCCATGAACTGGTCTCTGTAGCAGGTGTTACCTGGAGGCAAGCCATAGAGGGCCTGCCTGGTTCTCATGCCTCTTTGCCACCCTCAAAGAAAGTCCTAATGTAGACTCCTCTTACATAGTTAAAGAAGAAACTCCCCCCTAATCCCGCTTTTTTTGAACAACACCCTTTCATTTATCTGGTATATGTTACATTTCTAAAAATTAAGTTAACACATAAAATTTACCATTTATACCATTTGAAGTGTACAGTATCACGGCATTTATATATTCACAATGTTATGCAACCATCACTACTACATAAAAAAATTTTCTTCTCCCCCAAGAGAAACTCCATATCTATTAAGCAGTCATGAAATAATTTTTATTTCTAATACTTTAAAGTAAATATAAGTATTATGTGAAAACTTGTACCTACCTGCCTATGGATATTTCTCTGTATTATCCACATATATGAGTGTGTGATATACTACATGAAAGTGATTCTAACCCCTCTTTATGTACACATCCTTCTTTATCCAAATGAAGTTAGCATTTTTAAGGTATGAAAAAAAGAATTTTTTTTTTCATTCTCCAGTTTGTTATGCTGAATGCTTTTGTTGGTGGGTGTTATCAGTATCTACAGTTTTCCACTTTGGAGACTTGTTAAATCATAATGATAACAGAAGTGTTCAGTAACTGGTATGTCTCTTTAATTTAGCACCTTTAGGTCTAACTTTTAAGAGAAACAGATAATTCAGCTTTTACGTTGACTTGGGTCCATCTTAGCGATTTTCAGACAATTTCAGACAAGCGATTTTCCGTAATGTACAATGAGCTTTTCATAGGGCTGAAGTCACTTTTGTAAGAGTGGGCAATTTGCAATGACTTAAATCAACCAAAACTTTAACCATAGCCCCTAAGGTCTTTGAGGTAGATTAATATTACAGGGTCACTAGTAATATTTCACTCTATTTCAAACTAAAAGCTCATTTACATTCGGGAACCCCTTTCTTCAGTTCCCTGGCAGAGTCTTCACTTCTAAATAGATAACTTAGAAGCCTACACAGCCTCCTGGTGCTTTGACCGTCATCTGGCTGACAGCCAAGGGTATCATTTCATCCTGCCATCTCTGTCTCACCTTGCTAAAGACCCCTCTGTGTTGTCTGTGACAGTTTTCTTTCCTGGTGAAGTAACAGTTATAAGAGCAGTTTTCCTGGAATTGTAGGAGAGAAAAGTTGATTGACCCATAAGAAATGTTGGCCAAGTCCAAGAAGATATCATAAGATTGTCAAGAGAAGCCAGCATCACTAACTCTGGCTATCTTCTTTTCAGAATTCAAGGAATTCTATCCTGGCCTCTTCTGGATTTGGAGCATCTCTCCCGGGTTCATCACAAGCTTTGACTTTTGGAAGTGGAAGGAGCCAGTCCAATGGGGTTCTTGCCACAGAGAACAAACCTTTGGGCTTCTCTTTTGGCTGTAGCCCAGCACCAGAGTCTCAGAAAGACTCTGATCTCTCCAAAAACTTGTTTTTTCAATGCATGTCCCAAACTTTACCCACCAGTAACTACTTCACTACCGTTTCAGAGAATTTGGCTGATGATTCCTCCAGTCGAGACTCATTTAAGCAAAGCCTTGAGAGCCTCTGTAAAGGAAGATCCACTCTCGGAGCAGACAGTAAATCAGGCTCTAAGGCTGGCAGCTCTGTGGATCGGAAAGTGCCTGCAGAGTCCATGCCCACCCTCACGCCAGCCTTCCCACGGAGCCTCCTAAATGCCCGCACCCCAGACAGTCATGAAAATCTATTTTTACAGCCCCCGAAACTGTCCCGAGAAGAGCCTTCTAACCCTTTCTTGGCATTTGTGGAGAAAGTTGAACATAGCCCTTTCAGCAGCTTTGCATCTCAGGCCTCAGGTAGCTCTTCCTCTGCTACCACTGTCACCTCCAAGGCAGCACCCAGCTGGCCCGAGTCTCACTCCTCTACAGATTCGGCATCTTTAGCAAAGAAGAAAACCCTCTTCATCACAACTGACTCCTCCAAACTGGTATCTGGTGTTCTGGGCTCAGCTCTTACCACTGGGGGGCCAAGCCTCTCTGCCATGGGGAATGGCCGCTCCAGTTCCCCCACCAGCAGCCTCACCCAGCCCATTGAGATGCCTACTCTCTCCTCCAGCCCCACAGAGGAGAGGCCAACTGTGGGGCCTGGGCAGCAGGACAATCCTCTCCTTAAAACCTTTAGTAACGTCTTTGGCAGGCACTCAGGCAGCTTTCTGTCCTCCCCAGCAGATTTTTCACAGGAGAACAAAGCTCCTTTTGAAGCTGTGAAAAGGTTCTCACTGGATGAGCGAAGCTTGGCTTGCAGACAGGACTCAGACTCCAGTACCAATAGTGACCTGTCAGATTTAAGCGACTCTGAGGAGCAGCTGCAAGCCAAGACCGGCCTGAAGGGGATTCCGGAGCACCTGATGGGGAAGCTGGGCCCCAATGGGGAACGCAGTGCTGAGCTGTTGCTGGGAAAAGGCAAAGGGAAGCAGGCCCCCAAGGGCCGGCCTCGGACTGCTCCCTTGAAAGGTGATCCTGCTGAGATTATCCATGGGTCTGGCTCTGGCACTTGCCTCAAATGCTTGCTGTGCTCTTGGGCAGCAGAGGCCCTTTTTTTGATGGAAAGTCCTATAATCTCATAGAATTATGTAGTCCAAAGGGTACAGTAGGGATCCCTCATCAGATCATCTGGTTAAAGGCAGGGTTGATTTAAACCAGCACTGTAAGAGGGATATCTGTCCTGTTAATGATAATCCCACAAAGTCTTGATAGTCTTGTTAATTTTGGTCAGGAGCTCTTTCCTCCCTTAGTGTATTTCTCCTGCCTTTGGTCCTTCCCCTTTAATGAATTTAGGGGAGTTACTCAGTACTAGTCTTTATTCTCACATAGCAGGCTTTAGTAGAGTTGATGAAGCAAGAGAACCACTCCTCAGTTTGCTCCTCTCTGTCACATATTTATGGTTTTAAACCTCTTTCAAAAGCCGTTAACTCCTGTGGAGTGAGGTTATGGTCTGAAATTGTGTAAAGACAAGTATCTAAGAAAATGGCAAGTTACCATTCTCATTAAGAGTTGGTTTCCCATAGAAACCCCAAGAGTTCCTGATTAGTAGAACAGTTGTATCCTGAGGGGCTGGTGGCAAGAAGCTACCTTCTGCCTTCTTGAGTTTTCCTCACCCATACTCGAGTTGTTTCATTGTCATGGGGTACTTCCCACAAATTCTCCATGGTTTTTATTTCCCAGTTGAAGCCTCTTTGTTCCCTCTGCTCCTTTCTGCCAAGGATGGACCTGATGGGCTCATGCCCATCCAGTGCAAGGAGTGACTCAGGTCAGGACAATGTCTGTCCTCAGGAGGATTATGTTTTTGCATCTCTTTTAAACCTTTCATGACCAACCATTTGTCTCTCTGCCTTCTCACAGTGGGCCAGTCAGTGCTGAAAGATGTGAGCAAAGTAAAGAAGCTGAAGCAGTCCGGAGAGCCCTTCCTGCAGGATGGGTCGTGCATCAATGTAGCCCCTCACCTGCATAAGTGTCGTGAGTGCCGCCTGGAGCGGTATCGGAAGTTTAAGGAACAGGAGCAAGATGATTCCACTGTGGCCTGCCGCTTCTTTCACTTTCGGAGGTACCCAAACTCCTCTCCGTCTCCTTCCCAGTTTCCTTAGTGATACATAACTTCCACTCTTTCTCTGAATTGGTAAACATGTTTCAGCATCTTTTTCTTGTTTTCCTAAACTCCATTGCGCTCAGAGTCTGTGCTAAGGTTCTGCCATCCCATTAGTTATTTAGGTTGTGAAATGATACATGACTTTGCCCTTAAGAGAACTGAAATTTCCGGGGTTCGGTGCGGAGAGCCCTTCATCCCGGGACACGGGGTGCGGCCAGAAAGGCGGCCGCCCCCTCGTCCGTCACGCACCACACGTTCATGGGGAACCTGGTGCTAAACCATTCGTAGACGGCCTGCTTCTGGGTCGGGGTTTCGTACGTAGCAGAGCAGCTCCCTTTCTGCTATCTATTGAAAGTCAGCCCTCGACACAAGGGTTTGAAAAAAAAAAAAAGAGAACTGAAATTTAACAGTCTCACCTGCTGCCCCCTGAACTGTGTTCTTATTCCTAACTTGAGTTCCATTTGAAACCAGTGATGTGAGCAAAAGGATGCCATTTTGTATTATAGATTTGCTTAACCAGTTACTCCTCTTTAGTGCTAGAGTAATTTGCGTCCCCTAAGAAAGAAGAGGAAGTAAGATTAGGAGATAACGTGAACCTTCTTTAAAATAGGGATAACTTGAAAATCCTTGTAATGTCCCGTGCTTTTACCAAACAATAGCTATTTATTCACTTTGCTTCTGCTTGATAAACTTAGAAGAGGAATTTCTTCTAAGAAATCATTCAAGAGTCCTTAGTTTTTTAAATAAAAAAATCCAAGTGGTTTATCCATGTGGCATGGATTCACTTATTCAGCAAATGTGTATTGAGCATTTAATGTGTGCCAGCCATTGTTGTTGGCATTGAGGATTAACAGTATACAAAACCATCAAATTGCAGCCCTCCGGAGGCTTGTTAGGGATGCAGATAATAAATAAGAAAAACAAGTTTAACTATGAGGAAGATAAAGAAGGGAAAGAGGATTGATATGTGGGGAGGCTAGAGAGGCTACTTGATGGGGGACTCCCTTGGCAATCCAGTGTTTAGGACTCTGCACTTCCCCTGCAGGGGGCACAGGTTCAATCCCTGCTTGGGAAACTTAAGATCCCACAAGTGGTAATGCCATGGGGTCCTAAAGAGTTGGACATGACTTAGCAACTGACCAACAACAATGAATGGGGGGATTATTCCAACTATTTTGGGAAATGCAGTTCAGTTCAGTCACTCGGTCGTGTCTGACTCTTTGCAACCCCATGGACTACAGGCATGCCAGGCTTCCCCGTCCATCACCAACTCCCAGAGCTTGCTTAAATTCACGTCCATTGAGTCTATGATGCCATCCAACCATCTCATCCTCTGTCATCCTGGGAAAGGGCAAGGATTTCCAGGAGTTGGGCCATCACCCGCTTTTGGGTCTTTGATGGTTGGCCTCAGAACTGTGATGGCACTGGTGGGTGTGTCAGTTTACTTTCCTGTTGTGTTCTAATGAGTGTATACTGAGGCTCAAAGGTCTAGTGGAAGTCACTCTGACATCTCGGACCTGTTTGTTCTAATCAGTTTATGTCGTGTTCCTTGGGCTGTGTCGTTCTTTTAAAGTCTCTGCCCTCCCACTTCCCTCCTGTTTCAGGATGAGGAGGAACTAGTAAAGGAGACTGAGAAGGAACAGCCAGGGAGGTATTCTGGAAGACAACTGAAGAATGTGTTTCTAGGAAGGAATAATGAACTCTGGCAAATGCTGCTGATTGGGTGTGGTCAGTTAAGGACAAAAAAATGACCTTTGGATTTAACAGGGGGGAATGACCTTGTCAAAAACAGTTTTAGGACTTCCCTCACAGTTCAGTGGAAGACTCGTGCTTCCACTGCAGGGGATGTGGGTTCCATCCCTGGTCAGGAAGTCAAGATGTCATATGCCACCCAGCGCAGCCAAAATAAAGTTTTGGTAGATTGATGAGAGGACGTCTGAATGTTGTGGTTTAAGAGAAAATAAGAGAGAAAGGAACTGGTAACTATCAGTATAGACAAATCTCTTAAGAAACTTTGCTCTTACAAACAGATAAATGAAGGAGGATGTGGAATCAAAGGGACTGAGATAGCACATTCAAATACTGACAAGAGTGATTCAGTAGAGAGGAAAATCCCCGATTCAATGGACATGACTTTGAGCAAACTCCAGGAAGACAGTGAAGGACAGGGAAGCCTGGCATGCTGCAGTCCATCAGGTCACAAAGAGTTGGACACGCCTGAGCAACTGAACAATGACAAAAAGAGGGGAAAATAGATGTAGAACAGAGAATTAGTGAAGTGATGCCTATGCAAGAGGATAAGGTATAGAGCAGAGGTGAAGAGATTGGTCTTCACTAGGAACTAGTTCATCCATAGTAGCAGAAGACGAGATAGAGTACATGGGGGCAGGTATAGCAATGTGTGATAGTGTGGTGGAAGCTTGTGGGAATTCTCTCTTCTGGCTCCTTGCAGAAATTTTTGAGTGAAATAATTAGCAAGGTCCTCGTGGGGAAAATAATACTGGAGTTCTGAAAAGAAAGAAGATATTAAACAAGCATTAAAGGCTCACCTGATGTAAGCAGACAGGCATTTCAAGTGTGACAGTGAACACAGATCTGTATTTTTCTCTGGTCACATTTACTGGTGTTGTTGCTGGTATGGAATAAGTGGTTAGAGAAACTGGTAGACAACTCTTTAAAGAACCTGGACCTAATAAGTGTTAACAGTAAGCCTTTCTATTAGTGCATACTGTGTTGGTCAAATATGGTACAAGTTCTTAACTGCCTGATTCCTATTAAGTCTCACTTAATTTCTTTTAGGTTGTAGGATTTTTAAGTGGGTGTTGGTCTGCATGGTTGCTGCTATTTACTGTGTATTTGACTATGTATTTCCTATCTCAGGTTGATCTTCACTCGAAAAGGTGTACTCCGAGTGGAAGGGTTTCTGAGTCCCCAGCAAAGTGACCCTGATGCCATGAACCTGTGGATTCCCTCTTCCTCCCTAGCAGAAGGAATAGACCTAGAAACCTCAAAATACATTCTGGCCAATGTTGGAGACCAGTTCTGCCAACTTGTGATGTCTGAGAAGGAGGCCATGATGATGGTGGAGCCACACCGTAAGGCACCCTCTTGCTTGTCTTCTAGGCAGTTCTAGTTGGAAACTCATTTTCTTTTGCTTAAAGTGAAGTGTGGAATGAGTGGCAGATAGCATTTTCTATGGATGAATTAAGGCTGCTAAAACTTCTATATGAAGTAAATTGAATAGCTAAAGCAATACCTGTGTCTAGCAATCCTCAGTCTTTTCGTCTTTGGCATTTAACAGACTAAAATTTCGTTCCTTGTTTGTCTTTCATTTTTGTAGCACAGTTGCCATAATTTGCATTTTGATCCCTATTTGGGTTTGATTCACTCTGAATATTTTCTTCACTTTGAACTAATTTGTGTCAGTAAGTGGTAATACTTGATGGTATGTGAATAGATTAAGTGCTACTGGTTGTTGTGTTTCATACCTTAAGCCCATATTATTCATACATTTATGGTATTTCCATGTCTATGAGATACTATACCCTATTTCTAGACCAAGGAATATTGTACTATAAAATTATGCCCTATACTTAAAGAAAAAAAATCCTCTTATTTCAAGCTTCCCCAATTTGAAAATTTTATAGTATCTTAAGTGACAACATATGGCATTCATTCTCACTGACACTTGTTCAGAAATATTATAAATTCCATGTATTTTGTTTCTCTTAACAATTATAGAAATACAAACTTCATCAATCTTTGAGTTTAATTGCTAGACAAAATGCTTGAATGGGAATCAGTGGATCTGAGATCTTTTGCTCTCGCTCAGAATAATCAGTGCCAACAGTATTCCTCTTCCTTTTTCCACCAGAGAAAGTGGCATGGAAGCGAGCGGTCCGAGGTGTACGGGAGATGTGTGATGTGTGTGAAACAACCCTCTTCAACATCCACTGGGTTTGTCGCAAATGCGGATTTGGGGTCTGCCTTGACTGTTACAGGCTCAGGAAAAGCCGACCACGCAGTGGTGAGCAAATGTTGTCCTATACAGCTGAAGGTAAACTGTCAGTGGAGGTGTGGGCTTGGAAACTGAAGCAGAAATAGCTTTGGGCCCCTTCTTTAGCTTATGTTTTGTCACATTGTGAGGTCTTAAAATTGCCAATACTCCAGCCTAACTGAGAAGGTTAAAACTTTTAAAGTATACACTTCAAATGTTTTTAGTATATTCCCAAGTTTATATAGTTATCACCACTATCTAATTTCATTTTCATTGCTCCCAAAATGAATCTTGGGTTCAATAGCAGTCACTCCCTATTCCTTCCCCCCTTAAACCTTGGTAACCATCAGTCTACTTACTGTCTCTATCAACTTGCCTATTCTGTACATGTCATATAAATGGAATCATACAATATATGGCCTTCTGTGATTGGCCTCTTAAACTTAGCATACTCTTTCAAAGTTTCATCCATGTTATAGCACGTATTACATTCCTTGTATTGCCAGGTAATATTCCATTGTATAGATATACTACATTTTCTTCATCCATTCTTTAGTTGATGGACATTTGGGTTGTTTCTGCTTTTGGCTGTTATGAATAGTGGAACATTTGTTACAAGTTTTTGTATGGATGTGTTTTTTTCATTTTTTTGAGAATATATACCTTGTGGTAGAATTGATGGGGCATATGGCACTTCTATGTTTAACCCTTTCAGAAACTGCCAAACTGTATTCCCAAGTAGCTGCACCATTTTATAATTCCACCAACAATGTATGAGGATTGCAAATTTTCCACATCCTTGTCAATGCTTGTTATTATTATCTGTCTGATTATAGCCATCATAGTGACTGTGAAGTAGTATATAGTGTGATTTTAACTTTCATTTCCCAGATGACTACTAATGTTGAGAATCTTTTCATGTGTTTTTTGGCCCTATGTTTATCTTCCCTGGAAAAATGTCTACTCAAATCCTTTGATTCACTTTCTTTTTGCTTTATCTTATTACCTGCCAAGAATCTTCCTTGCCCCTTGACTTCATCATTCTTCCCTCTTCTATGATAGTGTAACCATTGTAACAGTGATTTAGAGCTTAGACTACTGGGATCTGAATCCTACCTCTGTATCTTATCATACCACCTATGGTATCTTGGGCTAGTTACTTAACCCCTCAGACTCATTTCCTTGTCTATAAAACAAAGATAATACAAGTATGTCCCTCACAGCATTGTTTTGAGGATTAAATGAGATAATGTATGTCAAGTGGTTAACACATTCACCAGGTACTGCATGTTACACAGCTAAGATCTTCCACTTTTGCCCATGAAAGATAAACTTCTGCAGAAGTTGCCCTCCTATCATAAACAATAAGAAAATCAGACAAAATATACAAAACCACAGTTTCAGAGGGCTTCCCTGATAGCTCAGTTGGTAAAGAATCCGCCTGCAATGCAATGCAGGAGACCTCGGTTCAATTCCTGGGTCGGGAAGATCCACTGGAAAAGGGATAGACTCCCCACTCCAGTATTCTTGGGCTCCCCTTGGGGCTCGGCTGGTAAAGAATCTGCCTGGCAATGTGGGAGCCCTGGGTTCGATCCTTGGGTTGGGAAGATCCCCTGGAGAAGGGAAAGGCTACCTATTCCAGTATTCTGGCCTGGAGAATTCCATGGACTGTGGGGTCTCAAAGAGTCAGACACAACTGAGCGACTTTCACTTTCACAGTTTCAGATATCGGACAACAGGCAGCTTGAGTCTGTATTCCCTCAGAAAAATGAAGAAACAAGGTGGTCCTACAGTTGCCCCAGTTTACTGCCTGGAGGCAGTTTATAGCCTGTACCACAAGGAAATAAAGTTTGGCAATCTCACAAGTTCAGACCAAGATTAAAATCTGAGAAGAGTGAGGCAGTGTACTGAAGTGCTACAGAAAGAACACCAGATCTAGAGAAATCATCTCAATTTTTTTTTATTATATAGTGGTCTGCACATGCATCAGAGGAAACTGTCCTCAAGCCATTCAACTGAATAGTATACAGAACTCACAATTTGTATTCCCACCAGCCAGAGTGGAGAGACATTGGATAGAGTCCAAAGGGGTCACACCCTTTGTGGTAGAACTAACATAGTCCCAGAATAAGGTTGCTCTGGAGCTGCCATAATGAAGTATAGAGCACGACTTGGAAGGATCAAATTCATCTGCAAATTGCTTAGTTATACGCCAAACCAAACATTCTTTAAAGGATTATACAAAATCCAGTACTCTGAAATGTAAAACTCACAAAGCTCTGCATTTGGTGAAGAAAGATCTGGTGTACAGAAAAGAATAATGCAACCAGTATAATACAACCAGTAATCTGGGAGGAAGAAAACAATCGATAGAACAAATCCAGAAATGACAGTGATGATGGAGTTATTGTAAATGGACCTTAAAACAGCTATTAAAATAACTTTTAATATGCTTGGACATAAAGGAAAACATAATGAGTAACATAGAAGACATGTAAAAGACCCAGATAAAACTTCTAGAGATGAAAAGTATCTCAGAAAAAATTACACTAGGTAGGATTAATGGCATATTAGATACTGCAGAAGAAACAGTGAACTTGAAGACATAAAATAAAAACTATAAAAAACTAAGTACAGATAGAGGACTTAAATTTATAAGTTGAAGAGTGCCTTGTTGAACTACCAATGCATTAGGTAGCCTCCCAAACAAGTAAGTGGAGTTCCAGAAAGAGAAAGGGCAGGAGAGCAGAGATAGAAAAAGTATTGGAACAAATAAAGCCAAAAATTTTCCAAATTTGATGAAAAAGCTATAACGTTACAAGTCCAGCAATAATCCTCAAATAAAAAAGACATTAAGGAAAACACACCAAAGCACATCCTAATTACTTACTTAAAAACAGTGTGGTAAAGAGAAAAGCTGAAAAGCACAAGAGGAAAAGCACATTATGTAACAAAGATAAGAATGATTAAAAAAAAAAAAGAATGATAGCTAACTTGTCAGAAAACTATACTCTAGAGACAATGGAGCAGCATTTTAAAGTACTGAAAACAAACCTATTAGTCTAGAATTCATACCTAGTGGAAATATCTTTCTAGGGTGAAATAGTTTTCCAGGAATGGAAAAAGTGATAGAATTCATCATTCTATCAGCAGCAGACCCATGCTGCAAAGTTAAAGGTAGTGACTCAGGCAGAAGAAAATGATACAGTGTGGAAATTTGGATTTATACAAAGGAATGAAGAATGTGCTACATGGTAAATATGTGGGTACATATAAAAGACTTTTTTCTTATTTTTAATCTTTTTAAAATAATAATTGTTTAAAGCAAAAGTAATAGCAATATAGGACTTCCTTGGTGGTACAGTAGATAGGAATCCACCTACCAACACAGGGGACATGGGTTCGATCCCTGGTCCAGGAAAATTCCACATGCTGTGGAGCAGCCAAGCCCATATGCCACAACTACTGAACCCACACTCTAGAGCCTGTGTGAGCCTCAACTCCTGAGCCTGAGTGCTACAGCTGCTGAAGCTCACGTGTGTAGAACCTGTGCTCTGCAACTAGAGACGCCACTGCAACAAGAAGCCCGCATGCCACAAGGAAGACTCGCCCCTGCTACAGTAGACCCAGTACAGCCAAAAATAACTAACTAGATAGATAAACAATTTCAAAAAAAGACAAGGAAGGGCTTCCCTGGTGGCTCAGTTAGAAAGAATCTGCCAGCCAATGCAGGAGACATGGGTTCAATCTCTGGTCAGGGAAGATCCCACATACTGTGGAGCAACTAAGCCTATGCGCCACAGCTGATTGAGCCTGTGCTCTTGAGCCTGGGAGCCACAACTGCTGAGCCTGTGTGCCACAGCTACTGAAGCCTGAGTTGCCCTAAAGCCCATGCTCTGCAACAAGAGAAACCAGTGCAATGAGAAGCCCACACACTGCAACTAGAGAGTAGCCTCCACTGTCTGCAACTAGAGAAAAGCCCACGCAGCAACTAAGACCCAGTACAGCCAAAAAATTAGAACATTAAAAAGACAAGGAAGAGCATCTGGAATCTTCCTGGACCAGGGATCAAACTCAAGTTCCTTGCACTGGAAGTGTGCCACCAGGGAAGTCCCCACAACCCAGTTTTTAAATGGGAAAAATATTTGAACAGATACGTCATCAAAGAAGATAGGTCAATGAAAAATAAACACATGGAAAAAACTGTCATTACTTACTAGGGAAATGCAAATTAAAACCATAATGAGAAACCACTATCCCCACTAGGATGGATAACGTTTTTAAAACTGAGAGTGCAAAGTGCTGTCAAGGATATGGAGCAACTAAAACTTACTAAACATTGTTGGTAGGGATGCAATTTGGTACCATCACTTTGGAAAACAGTATATCTATTTCTTCATAAATTTAAACATCAACTAGCATTCTACTAGTATGTATAAGGGAAATGAAAATATGTCCACACAAAGTCTTGTGCTTGAATGTTTGTAGCCCTTTATTCATCAGTTCAGTTCAGTTCAGTCGCTCAGTCATGTCCTACTCTTTGCAACCCCATGAATCGCAGCACACCAGGCCTCCCTGTCCATCACCAACTCCCGGAGTTTACTCAAACTCATGTCCATTGAGTCAGTGATGCCATCCAGCCATCTCATCCTCATCATCTCAGCCATTTCATCCCCTTCTCCTCCTGCCCCCAATCCCTCCCAGCATCAGGGTCTTTTCCAATGAGTCAACTCTTCACATGAGGTGGCCAAAGTATTGGAGTTTCAGCTTCAGCATCAGTCTTTCCAATGAACACCCAGGACTGATCTCCTTTAGGATGGACTGGTTGGATCATAGTAGCCAATAATTGGAAACAATCCAACTATTCACCAATAATTGAAAGCAGTCCAACTATTCATGAGTGGGTAAACAAAATGTGGTACATCCAAACTGTGGAACAGCACTCAGACATTAAAAGCAATGAATTACTTATACATGGAACAATATGGATAAATCTCAAAATCATTATGCCAAATGAAAATATCTCAACACAAATGACAGATGACATACCATATGTTTCCAGTAATATGAAATTCTAAAAGAAGCAAAACTTTAGTGTTAGAAATTTGATCATTAGTGGCCAGGGTTTGAGGAAAGGGTATTGACTGCAAAGGGCTAAAGGAAACTTTGGGAAGGAATAGTAATGTTCTAAATTCTGAATGTCACACTGTTTTCTACAACTAGATACCTTTGTCGAAATTCAAACATATTTGAATTTGAAGTGTACACTTTAAATTGTTGAACTAATTTTATGTAAATTATACCTCAGTGAGGCAGTATTTTTAAAAGTTAAGGACTTCCCTGGTGGTCCAGTGGTTAAGACTCTGCTTTCACCGTAGGGGGCATGGTTTTTATCCCTGGTTGGGGAACTAAGGTCCCACAAACTGTATAACCAAAAATAAATAAAAGTTAGCTGTGATCTTCTTTGACCCTTGAGAAAATTGGCCTTTAGAGTCTGCAACTCTCACTCACTGAGAGAGATACATCTTCTGACCCTCATAAATAGGAAAGTCATTCATTTCTGTTTCAGAGACAGAAGAGATGGGTGATGAAGAGGTTTTCTCCTGGTTGAAGTGTGCAAAGGGGCAATCCCATGAACCAGAGAATCTCATGCCCACACAGATAATCCCTGGCACAGGTAAAAGGCACTCCTTTTTTAGATTTGGTGGGAGAAAAATATTTTTAAGTTATATTGTATACACTATAAAATTTGGTAAAATGGTTTATGTCAACTTGACTGTTTTTAAGCTTCACAAGATTTCTCTGAGACTTTGAATCTTCAGAAATGTTAGATTGATTATATGCTGCAGGGCACATACTTTACCTCGCCTTGCTGGGTGTAGGGGTGTATTGCTTTTCAGATGTCATTTTACATTCCTATGGTCAGCAGGGCCAGAATAGAAAAGGCCTGTCTTGGAATTCTTTGGTGGTCCAGTGATTAAGACTCTGTGCTGTCACTGCTGAGAGCCCGGGTTTAAGCCTGGTTGGGGAACTAAGATCCTGCAAACTGTGTAACATGGCAAAAAGAAAAAAAGGAAAGAAAAAGCTAGTCCCCTGGCTTCCAGAAAGACCTTTGTTTTTAGGCTTATAAAAATCCAGCTGAGGGACTTCCCTGATGGTCCAGTGGTTAAGATTCCATGCTTCCAATGCAGGGGGCCTGGGTTCAATCCCTGTTCAGGGAACTAAGATCCCACATACCCCATGGTGCAGCTAAAAATAAATATATTAAAAAAAAAAAAAATCCAGCAGAAGCTAATCAAAGCTCTTGAAACCATGAAGAAGGCAGCTTACCAGTAGGAATGAATGGTCATATGGCAACTTACTTCAGTGATTCCTCCATAAAGTCTATTTCCAGCTTCCATACTTTCACTAACATACTTTCACACACTGAAGCTGGTGAATTCCCCTGCCTCTAGTCTCCTTCACTTTGGGGAACCACCCCCTGTATCTTTATACCCCAGTGTATGCAAGCAGAATAGCTCCCAACTTATAGTAAAGTACCTAAATCTCAAGTATACAATTCAAAACATTTATATACACTTGAATATTAAGGAATCTACCCTTAGAGTTTCTGCTGAAGGACACCTTGTTAATGTTTACTAGAGGAGGGAGGGAGTGTAGCTTAGTGGTTAAATGTGTACAGAACATTAGTGCTAGATAGACCTGGGTTAAAGTCTTAGTACTTTCATTTACCAACTTTATGTACTTAAGCAAATAACCTAACTTCCCTGAGTCTCAGTTTCAACATCAGAAATCAAGGGTACAAGTTGCTACCTCATTGAAATGTTGTAAGGCTTGAGAGAGATAATGTAAAGTATTCCAAGGTTGATTATTATTATTATAATTATCTTTTTTCCAGCTCTTTACAATATTGGAGACATGGTACATGCTGCCCGGGGCAAGTGGGGAATTAAAGCTAACTGCCCTTGTATTAGTCGGCAGAACAAATCTGTGTTGAGACCTGCTGTCACTAATGGGATGTCACAGGTAAAATGGTGTGAAAAGTGGTGTTTCTCACAGGTAAACTGAGAGAAACTTAAGTTCTTTGTTCCAGGAAATGTCCCATTTTCACCTTTGTTGTCCCAGGATACTCTTGGATTCCTGGGCAACTAGGGGATAGGGAAGCCTGTCTAGAGAGAGCACATACAGTTACTGGAGGGATTTAAATTCCCCCTAACTAGTGTGAGTTTCTTTTCATTTGTCTTTAAAACCAATTCAGGCTTGGTTGATAAGTAGCACAAAGAGATTCTTTGCATCTTGTCAGGATTTATACCTCAGGGTCTTTATGCAGATAAAGAGTATAGAAAAGGTCACTAGGAATACAGTCTTGTCTGTGTGCATGGACCCTGCCTTGTCATGTTAGGTACTGAGGAAAGAAACATGAATATTGGCCCACTGATCTGGGATCATTCCACCTGAAACCATCCTAAGCCTTCATAGAGAGGCAGTAATTTTCCCATTTTCTGTCAGATGGAGGTCATTCTAGTTTGATGGTGACCATTAAGAATAAGACATTATTTAAAAACAAAAAACACAACTGCTTACTTTTGGAGGACTTTGCAGGAATGCTACGCATGATCAATAAGAGGTACAGGGATTAACCCTGAGAAATCTCAAGATATGTTTTCAGTAGAATTGATATATTAGAATACATTATCTGGAAAATTTAACAACAGAATAATGACCTTTTTATTGAGCATTTATGTAGGCCAGACACTGTTCTGAGCTCTTTGCATATACTATCTCATTTGATTCTCAGAGCAGCTTTGTGCAGTCAGGTTCTGATCACCGATTTGCCATTGTAGAAATTGAGCCTCAGGCATGCCAAACAAAAACCCTGTCTTGTTCATTGCTCTTTCCACAGAACCTAGCATAGTTTCTATCATATATAGGACTCAATAAATATATATTAAATTAATGAGTGAGTGAAATAGCAGTAGATGGGACAATTCCAAATTGCTTTCCCAGACTTATTTAGTGTCAGCAGTCCTTACTATTTGCATTGTATTTTTTCTACACAAGGACAGCACTTTAATCATTTTGGCGTTCTGTGCTATAGCTTCCTAGCATAAACCCTAGTGCCTCTTCTGGAAGTGAAACCACCTTCTCAGGCGGAGGAGGAACTGCACCGGGAACACAACCAGAGACAGACCATGTTCCCAAAGCCGACAGTACTGACAGCAGATCAGATGAGCCTCTGAAAGCAGACAGTTCGACATCAAATAGCAATAGTGAGCTAAAAGCCATCAGGCCCCCTTGCCCCGACACAGCCCCACCCTCCTCTGCCCTGCACTGGTTGGCGGATTTAGCAACTCAGAAGGCTAAAGAAGAAACAAAAGGTGAGATTAACACAAGCCCCTGCCCTGCCTGTGGGTAGAACACTTGAGTTATTCTGGGATTCTTCAAACTCACACATTACCATCCACATTGTTGAAACATGCTGCTTGCTTTCTCTGGCCGATCATGTAAAATGAGGGAATCTCTTTCAACTTCTTTCTAGAAGTGGAGCTTTTTTAAAAAGGCACGTGCCTGGGCTCTAGCCCAAACCTCTTTAGTCAGAATTGATATGAGGTTTTTAACAATCTTCCCAGATTGCCCTGTTATTAAGCCAGTATTACTAGCCAGGAAGGCTAGACTCGTCTTTTGATGGGCACAAGAATCACCTGGGGAATCGTTAAAAATGAAGATTCCTATGCCCCACCAGAACTATTAAATGAGAATCTCCATTTTTAACGAGCATTCCAAGTGATTGCAAGTATTCCAGATTACAAGTGGTCTGGAGACTCACTTGAAGAAACACTGACTTAGAAAGTGAGGGACACGAAAGATCAATGGGAACAAAAGGAAGTTTGAAATCCGGATCTGGAAAAGAAAGGAAGAAGTAGGAGAGCTTCTCCTTGGCCATGAGACTTGCCATAGTCATAGCTCATCAGGCTTGGCCCAGACAGGCTGTATGTAGTTTGGGGGGCAGGGGAGGGGAGAGTCTTTCTTCTTTTCCACTTGGCTGATTTTTAGGAGGCAGTTGCCTGCTGGGTATTCCTTTTGCCTAATGCTATTCCTGGTTATGTTCTTACAGAAGCAGGGTCCCTGAGGTCGGTGCTCAATAAAGAGTCTCATTCACCCTTTGGGCTGGACTCGTTCAACTCCACTGCAAAGGTCTCTCCGTTGACTCCAAAGCTTTTTAACAGTCTGTTACTGGGTCCCACTGCCTCCAACAACAAAACTGAAGGCTCTAGCCTTCGAGACCTCCTCCACTCCGGGCCCGGAAAGCTTCCTCAAACCCCCCTGGACACAGGCATACCCTTTCCCCCGGTCTTCTCTACATCCTCAGCAGTAAGTGTCCTCCCTAAAACTCTAGCCTTTGCTGCTTTTTCATGGAAGAACCATCAGAAAGAGATCTGCTAAATAGGTTAAAGGGTATAGTGTGACTTGTGTTCTCTACATTATCAGTCCCAGCTGATAAGATCTTTCTTTATATTGAGTTTGGCGAATGTTTGAGATCCTTTTAAGTAGTAAAGCTTTTGTGCTGTGTTAGGAAATCACTTAGAAACTGAGGCATTGAAATTTTTCAGTCATCAGCAGGAATCACTTTATTTTCTTGATGATAACAGATAGGCAATTTTTTTTTTTTAACATAGGCAATACATTTATGTGGTATCCTCTTGGATATCTAATAGATACCTCCAACTTAACACGTCTAAGACCATGTGGTCTACACGTTTTAGACCACGTCTAAGACTAATGCCTGTAAACTTGCATTTCCTTTATTTTTTCCCTCTCTTGGTCACTGGGTTTCCAGTTGCTTGGCCAAAAGTCTTAGAGTCATTTGGGACTCCCCTCTCACATTTTGTGTCTAATCTGTTAGCATATCCTTTCAGTTTGATTGCTAAAATGTATTCAGTAGCACACCCACTTCTCATCAGGTCCCCTGCTTCCCCATTCTAGTCTGAGATAACATCCTCTGTTGCCTGAATTCTTGCAGTAATCTCCATTTCTTCCCTTTCCACTCTACAGTCAGTTTCAACAGAGCAGTTAATATGATCCTTTTAAGATATAAATCAAATCTTATCACCTCTGCCTAAAATCTTTCAAGGCTTCCAATTTCATAATAAAAGCAGAGTCCTTTCAGTGGACTATAATTTTCCAGCCCTATCTTCTCCTCACTTCCCTGACTTCAACTACCACTCTCATTGTCCACTCTTGCTCTGGCCACACCCACCTTCTTGCCTTTCCTTGGACATCTCTAGCCATGCTCGCTTCAGAACCTTTATATGTGTCCTTTTCTCCACCAAGAGCTATCTTTTCCATGTCACCATATGGCCTGCTTCCTCATCAGCACCCTCTCCTCCTTTCTGAAATGTTATCTCTTCAGTAAGCCTTCTTTTTAGATTACCCTTTTTTAAAGTCCATTCCACTCCCATCCTCCACTCATATCTGTTTCCTCTGCACCTATAATCATCTGACTTACTGTATTTTATTTATTTTCTGTCTCACCACTTAAAGGCATTTTTGTCTTTTTTTTTTTTTTCCATGCTGTGTGGCTTTTGGGATCTTATTTCCCCAACCAGGGATCGAACCAGGTCCCCAGCAGTGGAAGCACAAAGTCCTAACCACTAAACTGCTAGAAACTCCTCATTTTTATTCACCTGATAGCCATAGTGCCACAATGTTCGATACATAGGTATTTAGTAAGCATTTACTGAACAAATAAATTCAAAAGATATAAAATTGAAATTTCAAAGATACAGTGAAAAAGCTTCTTCTCGCTCTTGCCTCCCCTTTGTAGGCGACCACTGTTTCATGATTGTCATTTCTGTGATATTAAAATACATTCAGTATATATTTTACACAGATACTTTTATACATTGCTTCTTTATTTTCAGTTTATGTATTTCAGAGATCATTTCAAACAAGTACATAAACATGTTTCTCATTCTGTTTTATGACTGACTGAAATTTGATGATAGTTGAGCCCTGTACAGTGTGGGTTATTTGTTTCTCTTTTGGATAAATGACCTCCAAAATTACGTTGAGCTCTGTTTTATTTGTGCTTGGCTTGGACTCCCAGTTCTCCTTTTTCTTTTTAAATTTTCCAAGGATGTTATATGGTTACATATACTTTATAGAGATAATGATTAGTGATACTTAAGACATTGGGTTAGACAGTTTACAGAAGCCCTCCCCTTCCTTCACGTCTGTGATCTTAGGTTTGTCACTTTCATCTCTGGGCCTGAGCTTTCCCACCAGCCAAAACAAATGAGAGATTCTTGGTAGGGGACAAACTGAGGAGTGGGAGACTACTTTCAGAATATACAGTTCTCTTGGATACAAACATTTAGTGGGTACACTCCCTAGTAAAAAGTCACTGTGTTGGAAAGTCACCTCAGTTACTTAATTGAAGTATTATATCCCTTGAACCTGCTGGCCAGAAAAAATGTATAGCCCTCAAAGTAAATGATCTTTTTCACTCAGCTATAGCATTTTGTGATCCCTAAAGTCTATGTGCATATGCTTAAAATGGGCCTCAATGCCAAAGATATTTCTTTATTTGTTTGTTTTTTTTTTTTTTTGGCTGTACCATGCAGCATGTGGGATCTTCCCTGACCAGGGATTGAACTTATGCTCCCTGCATTGGGAGCACAGAATCTTAACCACTGGACCATCAGGGAAGTCCCCAGAGATATTTCTTAGGTCTCAGATCTCTTGCAATAGAGGGGATTTTTCTGCATTTTTCTTTCACAAATAAAAAACAGAATATGAAGGCCAGGAAAATGTAAGATATTGACTTAATAGATTCCCCTTCCAACCACAAAAGACTTCATAATAATTTTTATGAAATTGAATCAGGTAGATCAGAACTCCATGTGAATAAAACTGTGAGACTGTTTTTTAATACTCTACTGATGGTGCCTCAGTCATACTAACCTGATGGATTTGTGTCTGGCAGGGAGTGAAGAACAAGGCCAGCCTACCCAACTTCCTTGACCACATCATTGCCTCAGTGGTAGAAAATAAGAAAACCTCAGATGCTGCAAAGCGGGCCTGTAACTTGACTGATACCCAAAAGGAAGTGAAGGAGATGGTGATGGGTTTAAATGTGCTGGACCCCCATACCTCTCATTCCTGGCTCTGTGATGGAAGACTTTTGTGTCTTCATGACCCCAGCAACAAAAACAATTGGAAGATCTTCCGGGAGTGTTGGAAGCAAGGCCAGGTAAGCAAGAATAAGCAGATCCCAGGGTCGGCTGTCTACCTGCCCACCCACCAAAGCTAGCAGGATAGTTTCAGTTCTCTCTGGGAGATACTCTGCCAAGGAAATTTAGATATACAGTAAGTTTGTTGTAGACAGCCTTGCTACTTTGAGTTTTCTTTGATTTTTGAAAATCAGAAGATTCATAAAATACACTGGATCTTTTTTCTTTCTCAGCTATGTAGCTCTGTGTTCTTAAAAGCACAGTTGAAATTCCTGTGAGGTTGTGATCTGACATTAATGACACCTTTAGAGGAAAATCCTTAAGTGAGATATGGGGTGAGGCGAGAGTGGGTGGAAGTGGGTGGTACTTTTCTAGGTAAATGTTTCAAGACCATACAAGTCTGTGTGATAGTGTGATAACACTTCCTGAGTTTTATACATTAGCAGGTGTGAGGAAGGAGGAGTTTATGGAATTGTCTAGATAGTTTTTCATTTGAGATGTGAGGGAGTATTCTGAGTTGCATTTGTTGGCTTTTCATCCTCTCGCCTCAAATTAGTGGTACATATCAGGGCAATAAAAGTGATTTCTCTGGAATGCACCCCCGCCCCCACCCTGTGAGAATCAAGTATAGTAACAGAATAGAAGTGTTTTCATTTTCTGTAGCTGACATGTTGAATCCGTGGATTCTGAAACTGGGAGGGATCAATAAGTCATCATAGAGGAGAAGAGGTGGTCCTCAGGAAACCCTCCTGTTCTATCCTTAGCCCTGCGTTAAGTGTTTCCTACCTGGCGGTGATCAAGATACTCTTGTTTCCGCAGCCAGTGCTGGTTTCAGGGGTACACAAAAAGCTCAAGTCTGAGCTCTGGAAGCCAGAAGCCTTTAGCCAGGAATTTGGAGACCAGGATGTGGACTTGGTGAACTGCAGGAACTGTGCTATAATTTCCGATGTGAAAGTTCGGGATTTCTGGGATGGCTTCGAGATCATATGCAGTAAGTAGCTTTGATATCAGGTTCTATAAAAGCAGACTGGAAAGTCAGCATCTATATGCCCAGCCCTACCCCTAAAATAGCAAATTATTGATACATCCTCTTAGTGAGAGAAATAGTCTATCATGGTGGCAACCAGGTAGCTCTCATGGCAATCACATGTCTCCCTGTGAGACATGTGCTTACCTGGACTTAAGCACATGATCACATGGGCTGTGTGGGGCACTTTTACTTTGAGATGGAAAAACTCACCATGGTTTTTCTGTAGGTGAGGAAAACAAAGCCCACGTAATCCATTATAGAGATTTGCAAACTAAAAAAAAGTGTTTAGTCTTCTAAACCTTTTAGTCACTGGAGAATCAGGAAATAGCCAACCCAGCAGATGTTTGTAGGAGTGCTTTCTGTCTTCCAGAGCGATTAAGGTCAGAAGATGGGCAGCCAATGGTGCTCAAACTCAAGGACTGGCCTCCTGGGGAAGATTTTCGGGACATGATGCCAACAAGGTTAGTGAACTCCAGTAAGTCATCTTGAGAGACTTGTGCTTTGCTGAAGCCATCACAACGTAATCACAGAAAAGTGAGCTCCACCTCTTTGCCTTTTTCCCCTGTAACAACCTAAGTCATGTCTTATGCTTTTTTGTAGGTTTGAAGATCTGATGGAGAACCTTCCTCTGCCAGAATATACCAAACGAGATGGCAGGCTCAATCTGGCCTCCAGGCTGCCCAGTTATTTTGTAAGGCCCGATCTGGGCCCCAAGATGTACAATGCCTACGGTATGAGGGAGAGGCCATAACTGATCTTTTTGGACAGTCTTATTTCCATTTTACCTGAAGAGGGAGATCTGTAATCAGTGTCATGTGTAGAGATGATAGAGGGCAGAGTGACAGGTGCTGAAGAAGTTGACAATATCCAGGATGGTTTTGAATGTTTGCTTTTATCATGGATTTACATAGCAGCCCTATGAGCCCAGACCATAAAACATACATTACAGCCTTAGAAAGTTTCCTCTCAAAGACTCCATCCAAGGAATTTCCATGACAGTCCAGTGGTTAAGATTCCATGCTTTTATTGCATAGGGCATGGGTTCAATCCCTGGGAAAGATCCTGCATGCCACACCACTCAGCCAAAAATGAAAAAAATAATTATAATAATACAGAATATTGCCATTTCACCTTGTGTATCTTCCTTTTATCTTCAGGCTTGATAACAGCAGAAGACAGAAGAGTTGGCACAACAAATCTTCACTTAGATGTGTCTGATGCAGTTAATGTGATGGTGTATGTTGGGATCCCCATCGGGGAGGGTGCTCATGATGAAGGTAAGATTTCTAGAACTCAGTGCTTCAGGAGGGTGAGGTTTAGCCTCAGAAGTAAAATGGGATGTTTTTCTCCTCAGTCAGGGCTAGTTGCTTTTTCTTAAGTCTCCACCAAACATGATACGTTGTAGGCGCACAAAGAGGTGATTGTAGCGGATAAGAGTGGTACTTGTGTGTCATCAGCCAGAGTTATTCTGTCTCTGGGAATGCTGCCCCTTAACACTGAGTGTGTAGCATCTCAAAGAGGAAAAAGAAAAAAGGGCAAACTGGCCTACTTCGTCCAGCAGCCAGTTCAGCTGTGGGGTAACAGATGATAAAGCCAGGTCATTTGCACAGAAATGAAGAATAAAAGTGATACTTTGCTGCATTTGCACTGTCTGCTATTTTGGTGTAAAATTAATATGTGTTAATTATGCAGGTTTCAGAAAACAAAATTTTAAAGAAGAAAATAACTCAAAATCTCAAAGTTCAAAGATAATCAATGTCATTACTTTGGTAATATTTTCTGCCACACATTTGCTTTTGATGCTACACACCTGTAGATCTTTTCATTATGTTGTCCTTTAAAGGGTTATAATAGATAAGGATTAGAAGCCAAGCCTCTTACCTTGGCAGAGAAGCTTTACTCTTCATGGCCTTAAATCCATAGAATCCTAGAGTTTGAAGAGGTCTTGAGAAAGTATACAGTCCATCTACATACAATAGGAAATAACGTGCAATCTGAACATAAGATATGGCTACACAGTTTGAACAGGAAATATGTTTTTAAAAGTAACTGTACTTCCAAAAAATGCTGAGTCTCTATCAAAAGTATGGAAGATTAGGGTCACTTCCCATGTGTAGGAAGCTTAGACTTCAGTGTGACTTTTGATTCTTTGAGTCTACTTTTTATCACTCCCAAGAGATAGAGAATGTTGTTGTTCAGTCGCTAAGTCATGTTTAACTCTTTGCGACCTCCTAGACTACAGCACATCAGGCTTTCCTGTCCATCACCATCTCCTGGAATTTGCTCACACTCATGTCTGTTGAGTCGGCGATGCTCTCTTAACTCTCTCATCCTCTGCTGCCCCCTTCTTATTTTGCCTTTAGTTTTTCCCAGCATCAGGATCTTTTCCAGTGAGTCAGCTCTTCCCATCAGGTGGCCAAAGTATTGAAGCTTTAGCTTCAGCATCTGTCCTTCCATTGAGTATTCAGGGTTGATTTCCTTTAGGACTGACTGGTTTGATCTCTGTGCTGTCCAAGAGACTTTCAGGAATCTTCTCCACCACCACAATTTGAAAGCATCAGTTCTTCAGTGCTCAGCCTTCTTTATGGTCTAACTCTCACATCCATACATGACTACTGAAAAAAACCATAGCTTTGACTCTATGGACCTTTGTCAGCAAAGTGATGTCTCTGCTTTTTAATACTCTGTCTAGGTTTGTCAATAGCTTTTCTTTCAAGGAGCAAGCGTGTTTTAATTTCATGGCAGTAATCACCATCCGCAGTGATTTTGGAGCCCAAGAAAATAAAATCTGTCACTGTTTCCACTTTTTCCCCCATCTATTTGCCGTGAAATGAGGGACCAGAACCATTCAACTTGTACTTCTTCAGCATTACTGGTCAGGGCATACACTTGGATTACTATGATACTGAATAGATTCAAGGGATATATCTGATGGACAGAGTGCCTGAAGAACTATGGACAGAGGTTCGTGACATTGTACAGGAGGCGGTAATCAAGACCATCCCCAAGAAAAAGAAATGAAAAAAGGCAAAATGGTTGTCTGAGGAGGCCTTACAAAAAGCTGAGAAAACAAGAGAAGCAAAAGGGAAAGGAGAAAAAAGAAAGATATACCCATTTGAATGCAGAGTTCCAAAGAAGAGGAAGGAGAGATAAAGCCTTCCTCAGTGATCAATGCAAAGAAATAGAGGAAAACAATAGAATGGGAAAGACTAGAAATCTCTTCAAGAAAATTAGAGATACCTAGGGAACATTTCATGCAAAGATGGGCACAATAAAGGACAGAAATGGTATGGATCTAACAGAAGCAGAAGATATTAAGAAGAGGTGGCAAGAATACACAGAAGAACTATACAAAAAAGATCTTCATGGCCCAGATAATCACGACGGTGTGATCACTCGTAGAGCCAGACATCCTGGAATACGAAGTCAAGTGGGCCTTAGGAAGCATCACTACGAACAAAGCTAGTGGAGGTGATGGAATTTCAGTTCCATCCAACTATTTCACATCCTAAAAGTTGATATGAAAGTGCTGCATTCAATATGCCAGCAAATTTGGAAAACTCAACAGTGGCCAAAGGACTGGAAAAGGTCAGTTTTCAGTCCACTCTCAAAGAAAGGCAATGCCAAAGAATGCTCAAGCTACCACACAGTTGCACTCATCTCACACACTAGCAAAGTAATGCTCAAGATTCTCCAAGCCAGGCTTCAACAGTACGTGAACTGTGAACTTCTAGATGTTCAAACTAGATTTAGAAAAGGCAGAGGAACCAGAAATCAAATTGCCAACATCCATTGGATCATTGAAAAAGCAAGAGAGTTCCAGAAAAACATCTACTTCTGCTTTATTGACTATGATAAAGCCTTTGACTGTGTGGATCACAGCAAACTGTGGAAAATTCTGAAAGAGATGGGAATACCAGACCACCTTACCTGCCTCCTGAGAAATCTATATGCAAATCAAGAAGCAACAGTTAGAACTGGACATGGAACAACAGACTGGTTCCAAATTGGGAAAGGAGTACGTCAAGGCTATATATTGTCACCCTCCTTATTTAACTTATATGCAGAGTACATCATGAGAAATGCTGGACTGGACGAAGCACAAGCTGTAATCAAGATTGCCAGGAGAAATATCAATAACCTCAGATATGTAGCTGACACCACCCTGATGGCAGAAAGTGAAAAAGAACTAAAGAGCCTCTTGATGAAAGTGAAAGAGTGAAAAAGTTGGCTTAAAACTCAACATTCAGAAAACTAAGATCATGACATCCAGTCCTATCACTTCCTGGCAAATAGATGGAGAAACAGTGAAAATAGAGACTATTTCTTTGGGCTTCAGAATCACTGCAGATGGTGACTGCAGCCATGAAATTAAAAGACTCTTGTTCCTTGGAAGAAAAGCTATGACCAACCTAAAAACAGCATATTAAAAAGCAGAGAGATTACTTTGCCAACAAAGGTCCGTCTAGTCAAAGCTATGGTTTTTCCAGTGATCATGTATGGATGTGAGAGTTGGACTGTGAAGAAAGCTGAGTGCCAAAGAATTGATGCTTTTGAACTGTGGTGTTGGAGAAGACTCTTGAGAGTCCCTTGGACTGCAAGGAGATCTAACCAGTCCTTCCTAAAGGAAATCAGTCCTGAATATTCATTGGAGGGACTGATGCTGAAGCTGAAATTCCGATACTTTGGCCACCTGATGTGAAGAACTGACTCATTTGAAAAGACCCTGATGCTGGGAAAGATTGAGGGTGGGAGAAGGGGACGACAGAGGATAAGATGGTTGGATGGCATCACCGACTCAATGAGTAAACTCCGGGAGTTGGTGATAAGACAGGGAAGCCTGGCGTGCTGCAGTCCATGGGGTCGCAAAGAGTGGGACACGACTGAGCAACTGAACTGGAGTGAAGTGAGGGATAAGATGCCATGATCTTAGTTTTTTGAATGTTAAGTTTCAAGCCAGCTCTTTCTCCTCTTTCACCATCATCAAGAGGCTCTTCAGGTCCTCTTTACTTTCTGCTATTAGAGTGGTATCATCTGCATATGTCTGAGGTTGTTTATATTTCTCCTGGCAATCTTGATTCTAGCTTGTGATTCATCCAGCCTGGCATTTCACATGATGTACTCTGCATATAAGTTAAACAAGCAGGGTGACAACATACAGCCTTGACGTACTCCTTTCCCAATTTTAAACCAGTCCGTTGTTCCAGATAAAGAATAGTAGAGACTAAACTTGTTTGAATTGGACATTTTGCTTCACTCAGAGGTACTGAAGTGGCTGCTTATATTGAAATGTCATTTTGCTTTTTTCAGAGGTTCTCAAGACAATTGACGAGGGAGATGCTGATGAGGTGACAAAGCAAAGGATTCATGATGGAAAGGAGAAACCCGGTGCTTTGTGGCATATCTATGCAGCCAAGGATGCAGAGAAGATCCGGGAGCTGCTCCGAAAGGTATGTCCCTGAGTGGGCTCCCAGCTCACAGATTAAAGGTCTGGGGATGCCAAGACAGTCTAACTGGGGTTTCTCACGTGGAGTCCCTTGGCGTTAAAGACCTGTGTCCTTTGTTACAAGGCCCCATAGGGCTGAATCCTCACTTAGAGGATATTAAATAAAGTAGGTATTACTGCAGCCAGCTGGATTTATCCTGTTAATAATCTTTATGTGTTTATTGATTTTTCCATCTTTGGGTTTTGATCGTGGTTTCATGATCAGGTTGGAGAAGAGCAAGGCCAAGAGAATCCCCCTGATCATGATCCAATTCATGACCAAAGTTGGTACTTGGACCAGACCCTACGTAAGCGGCTCTATGAGGAATATGGTGTGCAAGGCTGGGCCATTGTTCAGTTCCTGGGAGATGCTGTCTTCATACCTGCTGGAGCCCCACACCAGGTATGTCTCAACTTGTGGGTGGGGCTCCACAGTTCCCATAGTTTCCTTATTTCTGAGTTTGTTGCTAATCTGGCAGTAGATGTAAAAGTGTGGGTTAGACCAATTGTTCTTAAACTGCAATTTATTTTTTGCCTTTTCATTTTCTTCCATGTAATTTTAAATGCTCATTTAAAGAAAAAGTGAGTCTCAGTTCAATCCCCTTTTCAATCCCCTTATTCTGCCTTCCCCAGAAAGTAGCCTACTGTTAACAGTTTGGTATATATTTTTCCAGATCCTATTTTTGCACAACTACTAACATTTTCATTTATAAATTTATTACAGTCTTTCTGCATTTGTTGTCTTTATAAAAGTGGGACATCAGAAGTATTTATAAAGTGTCCTTTTGAACTAAATGATGAACAGTTTCCACATGTTATTGACTCCGGTGCCTGATGTTTGCCTCATGTACCTTTCCTCTCCCAGGTGCACAATCTATACAGTTGCATAAAAGTAGCAGAAGACTTTGTATCTCCAGAACATGTAAAGCACTGTTTTCGCCTGACACAGGAATTTAGGCATCTCTCTAACACTCATACAAACCATGAGGATAAACTGCAGGTAAAGAACTCCTCCTCCACTCCAGCCCTGTCTTATCTTCTTGTAGGCTACATACACAGGAGGTGCACACTGCCTTCTGAGGATATTATCTGGGCAGTGTAAGTGTAGAGAGCTGATTAAAGGACCCATGTCTGGGGTATGGCGTCCTCCCTCAGGAAGTATATAATCAGTCCTCTTCAGGTTTGCTTTTAGAGAATATTCATCTTTTAACCTAATCACTTCCTAATCACTTTTAACCTAATCACTTGTGGCAGTCTTCTCTTTCTCTGCCCCTGGAAGATACAGTGTTTCAGTGTTAGTGACTAAACTAAACTAAACTAAACTAGACTGACTTCCCCCATCAGGTGAGAAAAGCACTGTGGCAATGTGTTCTAAACCTGTTTCCACAAAACTGCTTCTCCCAGCAAATTTCTGTGCAAACTCAATTCCTTAAAAGCCCTGCTAGGGACCTTAATCCATGTCCCTAAGAGTTGTTTCCCCTCATAGATCTAAACTGGAGAATCAGATTAGGTTTTCCTCTGTTCAGAAATGGATTGGAACTTTAAGGGAAGAATTTCATTGTTAATATACTTCGATGCTTAATAACATTAAAAAAAAAAAGAATAAGAAAGCAAGATTCCCCAGGAGAGGTTTAGCACCCAAACAGGCATTCTTCCAGCCTCTCACTTATGGCCTATTTTCTTGCGTCATGCCTGTGACTCAGGTGTGTCCGTGACCCATGAGGTTGGATATTTTTCTTGGTCGTTGGTAGATTGATAGATGACACTTATAGATATAATGCAAGTATTCAGGCATATATATTTTAGACTACCCTCTGTTAGGTCTCTACTTGTCACATATCACCTCCCAGTCCTCTGTTATTGCTTTATTTTTTCCTGTAGTTTTCACCATCTAACATACTATGTATCTTTTGTTTGTTTCTATCCCTACTAGGACATAAGCTATTTAAGCTCCATAAAGGCAGGGGTTTTACTATTTTAGTTCACTGCTTTTCCCTAGGACATGTCTGACACAGTAGGTACTCAGTAAATATTTGTTGAATTAATACAAAAAAGTGTAATAGAGAATAGCAAGGGGGCTTGTATGGCCATCGTTCAGCTTAAGAGATAAAGCATCATATTCATACCATATATACAATGTATTTGTATACAACAACTACATTACTGAAGCCTCCATGTGCCCTTTCCCATTCCATTTCCCCAGAAATAATCATCATGTTGATTTAAAACTGTCTTTATCCTGTTCACTCTATTTTAATAACTTTTACTTTATACATTATATGTGGTCCTTTTTGACAAATTAGAAAATATAGGCACGAAAGGGAAAAATACCCAATAAATCCTACCTGCCCACTGTTTTTAGTGCATTCTTTTTAGCTATAGGACCTTAATGTAAGATTCTTAACCATGGGACCTCAGTTCTCATCTATAAAATGGGGATAATAATAGGATCTACTTCATAGGATTATGGTAAGGATTAAATGAAAGTCCACATAAAGAGCTTAGCAGTAGTGCCCAGCACATACATACACATAGAGGATGGTGATTATATAGCCTTTCAAATGATGAATCATTTTTTTTGAATATAGACTATATATTCTGTGTGATTTGTAAATCATCTTTTGGGGTCAGTTAGGGGAGTGCGCAGTCCTGGTTGAGGGCTTTCCTCACTCATCAGTAGGCTTTTAGTCATTGCAGGATATTTTCATTTGCAGAACACAGTCTGTGGCTGCCATGAACTAACTGTGCTGATTGCTCTCTCCAGGTGAAGAACATCATTTATCATGCAGTGAAAGATGCTGTTGGCACCCTCAAGGCTCACGAATCCAAGCTGGCAAGATCATAGGCATGGAGAAATTTCAAACTCCCCTGTGAAGCAGGTCTTTCACTCACAACACATACAGGGAACGACAGGGTTCTCTGCTGGAGCAGAGGTCCTTCACTTGGAGCCAGTGTGGTCAGTATTACAAACTCTCCAGCCACTCTTTTCTACGCTGCCTCAACACTGAAGGTTGACACAGGAAAGTCGCACTGTTCACACACACAGTTTCAGACTCCAAGCCGAGGGTGCCACATGCCTATCCTGTGGCCTTTTGGGACTTCAAATTGCCTGAACATCGCTGGGCTGTCCTGCACATTCTCATGATTTGAGATTTGTGGAAACCAGGAATGTGGGCACACCTTTCTTTTTTTTTTTCTCTTGTGCCTAGTTAAGTGGGAATGTGTTTGGAGGTAGGGGGAAATCACATACCTGGTACATGTGGGGGCTAATTATTTAAACACGCCTGGTGGAAGCCTGATGGTGTCTCTACACATGACCTCTGACACAGCCCATCCCAGGAGCCGGGTGAAGCCATTCCCCACCATCTCTCCCATGAACACTGAAGTCTTGAAGGACCCAGGGAGAATCCACTGCTTTTCCCAAGAGGCTCCAGGATTAGGAAACGTGTGTATTTAGTGAAAAATAGGTTTGTAGTGAAATAGTTACTATTTCATGAAAGTAGATATTTTTAGAACTTTTGAAATACCACAGTTGTTTTCCTGGATTATGAGGAAAGGCACATTACATTTAGTCTTCCTTCGAGAAAACTCTTTGAAGAAATATGATTTTCAGAAATCAACTGCCCATTATAGCACAAAAATCAGCCAAAGCAGAATTTAAAAGAATTGGCTTTTTAGGGTTCTTTTAATTTCACCCCCCCTCCCATCTCAGCCCTATCTTGAGGGAACAGCCATCTTGAGAAAGAACTTTGTCGTGTCTGAGCTGTGGTGTGTTCCATGCATACACACACTGGTGACTCCAGGAACCATTTCCACCTATTACCAGCGTTCCCTTGGGACTCCTCTTGTAGTTCCAAATTCAAAGGAAAGTTTGCTTTCCTACATGAGGCTTTTTGTTTTGGGAGTTTTTTTGTCCAGAAATATTTTCAGCAAAACTTTCCAACTCAGTGGAGTTTTATTAAGAATTTATTTGAAAATGATGGAATTCATTGGCCCATAGATACATTGGAAAATGTATCTGTCTTCTTCCCAGCTGTACTGTAGTGCCCTGCAGGCTTGTTTATATGTTCACAGTTACTTTTTTTTTAAATAAAAGTCATTTACTGTAGAATACTTTTAATTTCACTTTCTGTATTTTAATTTTGTTGAAGGGCTGATTGGGATTTCCATGTTCTTATTAAAAATCTAACAAATCTGTTCATAGTGGACTAACTTCTTCCTGTGCCAGTTGTTCTAAAAAGCAGGGCCAGGTTGAGGGTGGGGTTGGAGTTGGAGGATAGTTCATTTTCATATCATCATTACATTGTTGCATCCAATTATTACTCTTTGCTCCCTGAATTTGTGCCCAGCTGGGCGTGGGATGTGCCAGGCCATTGTGGTTTGAGGGCTTAGGGACAAAGGGGAATATGCTACATGAGCTAGAGGGTAGGAGCAAACATGGGCTTTCCATAGTTTCTGCCCTATGGGAAAGGTGGGTTCCTACCTTCCAGAAGCAGCCTGGCGAAAAGGGCCATGGAGAGTGGCCTGAGCAAGGTTTTGGGCAATCAGTGACAAAGTTGCTCAAAACAAGAGGCCTGGCTGCCCACATAGGAAATTGAAGTGGCTTGAAGGGTGAGGACAGACTGTGTTCCAATTAGAAAAGGCCTTTTGAAGAGGAAGTTGTAAAGAATAGCAAGAGGGGTCATCAGAGGCTGCTTCCTTGGATCCTGTTGGAAAAACATCTTCCAAAGTGTTTGAGCCTGGAAATACAATTATCAGGGTGGAAATAGACCATTGTGTGTGGTTCAATGATACTGAGTTTGAATAGCACCATAACTGAAATACAGAGTTCTGAGCATGTCCTTTAAGCCTGGATGGGCACGGGCTGGTGCTGTGATCATCAGAGGATTATACCTCGACATAAAGAATGCAGAAGCTTTGAAATGGAACGGGAAAGGAAAGCAGTGGGGGAAGGGAGGTTGCAGAGGTTTCTGGAGCTTTGTTGCTTTGGTGAAAATCAGGAGGCAGGCTAGCCTACATTCTGGGTATAAATGTCTTCAGAATTAGGGCATCCATTGCCACCAGTGCTTGCTGATGGGGATGGAACTGGAGCCCCTTATTCCTCGCCTCCCTGGACCTCAGGCCTCTCTACCAGCCTCTCTTTACAAAGAGGGAGATTCCCCTGCCCCAGGGTATCGTTGAGAGCGCAGGGCCCTGTTCCCCTACAAAACTTAGAAACTGACAACCTGGGAAAGCAGATCAGATTGGGAATGGGGTTAGGTCCTTTTACAATTGGAGTGATTGGTGATGGCGGGCTGGACATATGCCTCTATGCCTTTGACCTCAGGGCTTCCTGGGTTGGTGTCTTGACAGTCAGCGATAGGGGAGAAGGGTTTGATAGCAGTTGGAAGAAGTAGCCGATTCAGTAGGCTTCCTGAGTTCCTTTCTTAGCAGCATGACTTAGTGGTTCTGTGACCCGCGGCAAATTATTGAACCTCCCTGAAGCTTCCCATTTTCTTATCTTCAAAATGATAATTATAACGTCTGTCTTATGGGATGGTCACTGAAATAACGCCTGAGAAGCTCTTAGCACAGGGCCTGGCACACAATAAGCACTCAGTAAGTCATAGTCATTATTCCTCTTAGGCTATTTAAGTCTTTCAGCCTGTTGTGATCGGCGCAGGAGGAGGGCTAGGATGTCCGGATGGAACCATGAAGGCCTCTGAGGACCTCAATCCTGGGTTTGGAACCCAAAAAGGGTGAACAAGCCTTTGGAGGAAGGCAGGTCAAAGGCGCATGCCCAGCGACAGCAGGTGCAGGGGGGCGCGCCGCTGCCGCCGCCGCGGCCTCCCCTTTAAGAGCCGCCGCCGCCCACGGCCCGCCGCTGCGGCAGGGACCTCCCCTTTAACGGCGGCGGCTCGGCGCTCCGCGGCCCCCGCGGCGGCTGCTGCTGCGGGTGCTGCTGCTACTGCGGCTCCTGCTGCCGCCGCCGCTCGGCTTCCAGCAGCTACATCCTCGGCCCGGGCCGGCTTCCCGCCCCGCGCCCCGCGCCCCGCCCGGCCCCGCCATGGTGTCCTGGATCATCTCTCGCCTGGTGGTGTGAGTGCGGCGGCGGGGCGCGGCCGGTTGGGAGGAGGATGGGGGTTAGGGGTGGCGAGTGAGGGGTATGGAAGCCTGGGATGGACCACTCCGTGGCTTCGTACAGCAGAATCACCTAAAGGCACATCATTCCTATTTGGGGTCCCCAGAGACGTGGAGATGAGGGATCCGGAGGAGGGGCGAATGTTCGAGGAGCAAGGCAGGCCTGGCTTCCCACCCCTTTTATTTTTAATTTCCCTGTTTCTGCGCCCTCCCTCATCCCCGGAGGGGGGGCTAGGCAGCATGGCTTGATTTATGAGGGGAGGCGGCTTGTCCCCTCCCCCACGTAGCAGATCTGGCCGGAGGAGCCCCTCAAACCTGGGCTCTCATCTCCCCTCGGGAGAGCCAGGGGAACAAGGCAGGGCGTCCTCATTCCATAGCTTAGGGCCATGGCAGCCTTGGCCTCCCCGAAGGGCCCCATTTCTCCTCCCTCTTCCACTGTCTGTCAGGAGACTGAGGGTGAGGGCACATGCTCTGAAGGCCCCCCAGGGAGGACGGGAAGCAGAGATGCTTGGACGACAAAGTGTGGGAGGTAACTGGGAGAGGATATGTGTGTTCAGCCTGGGATTGTGAGAGCCGTGGAGGGAAGGGTGTTAGGTGGCCTTCATCCCAGGCTGCCGGCTCTGTCCCTCCCAGCTCCCCCGGGCTTCAGGAGGGTACCCTCTCCCACAACTGTGGACTTTGTCCTTGAGGATTCCACCCCCGACTCCATCTCTTGAAGTATCCTGCCTCAGTGAGGCAAGTCCATGGGGAACAGGCGGTATCCACACATTGTCAAGAGGCTGGGCCTGGCAGGGACTCTGCATGGCTTCAGTTAACCTGCCCCAGCTCAGGACCCTGCCCCTCAACCTCCACCTTTGGGGCACTGACACCCCAGGATCCCCTCCCTGCTATCATGTTCTTGTGTTCTGGCTTCCTCTAGACCCACCAGAGTCTCCCCTTCCCACCTGAGGGAACCCAGGGGCCTCAGACCTCCATGTGGCCTTCAGAGTGGCTGCTCCTCTTGTGTGAATGAGCTCCCCGAGTGACATCAGTCCTCTCCTTACCTCACCTGTGTCCTCTATGTGGTCTCTGATGGGAACAGCAGACTCCACTATAGCCGGGATCTCTAGCCCAGCGCACTTTCCAGAGCCTAGTCCCAAAAGTGTTTACATCGGGAAATAAACCACTTTGTCCCCGAGGGCCTCCTGCCCCTGTGCCCTCTGCTCCTCAGGTCCCCAGGGCTACAGTGGTACTTCTGACTGCCAGGTACCCTGTTGGGTAGTGTTACTGGCCCTGCAACGGGGAGGTAGAGGGTAAGGGCTAATGGGTAAGAAAGTGCGTGAAGTCTGGAGAAGGACGACACCTCTGAGGCAGTGACCTGACCCCCACCCCATGATATGGTTATGCACAAATGAGGTTCAGGGCCGGATAAGCCACATCAGACCCTCTGGCCTCTAGGTCTTTCTGTCGGGCTGGAGAAGAACTGAACAATAAAGGGTTCCGGGGCATCACCCTAGCTGGCTAGGGCCTCCATGCTTGTGTATCACCTCAGGCTTGCCTGCTTTGACCTTACTCCCTGACCTGAGATCATCAGTCAGCTGATGTGGTACCCTGGAGTTCTGTCCATTCTCCCCTTACCTACCCAGGGACTGATGCAGAGATGGGAGGGAGAGCCCATTGCTTTTGGCCGAGAGGCCCAGTAACTATGCCTGCCTCCCTAGGCTCATCTTTGGCACCCTGTACCCAGCCTACTCTTCCTACAAGGCCGTGAAGACAAAAAACGTGAAGGAATATGTGAGTGTGTGACCCTTCATCTCCCACCCAACTTACGTGGCAGAGATCAGGGAGGACAGTGGGTCACATGACAGACGGGGATGACTTTATACTAATGCTGTCAGCACTAATGAGACCTGGTTCAGGGGAGGCTCCTATGTATTCCCTTTCCCCAGCCCTGGTGTGATACACAGACAAAGTTGGGGCCCTCTGTGCCCCCCCCCCCCACAGTGCCTCCAGCATGGTTGGCAAGTAGAGGTGGGGTCCAGGGTGTTTCCCCAAGGCCCCAGCTAACACCACCCTCTGTACCTTTAGGTGAAGTGGATGATGTACTGGATCGTCTTTGCCTTCTTCACCACTGCCGAGACACTCACAGATATCGTGCTCTCCTGGTGAGGTCCAGTAACCCCTGCCTCCCTGCACCTCAGGTGCCAGGGCTTCTGACTTCTTCTACATAGCCAGTCCACCCAGGGTGGCATCTCCCCAACAGTCCCATGGGGTCCTGGGTGTCCCCTCCTCTCAGCCCCCATCCAGTCCTTGCTTGATTGAGCAGAATAAGAACAGACGTAACTCTCACCTTTCTTTTGGCAGCCAAAGCAGCACAATAGAGTTCAGGAAACCTGCTTCTGCCCGACTTACAGTGACTTTGGTCAGGTCACAGTTTTCTAGGCCTCAGTTTCCCTATTTGTAAAACAGGCATATGAGTCAATCTCGTGAACATTAGATTGTATTTCAAAGGCTTTTTCTAGGCACTACTAGACTATATATATACACTCTTGAGGACACAGAATGGTCTAACCATCTGTATATTCACAGCAGGCGCTCAAAAATGTTTACTAAATGAGCAAATGCCTCTTGGAAGAGAGGACAAACATAGCACAGTACACTGGAAGTCAAAAGAGTTTTACTGAGAGGTAGAGGACAAAAGATCCTGGCGTTTGTAGATTTCAGGGACCTTTAAGAAAAAACAGTTTGAGCAGAGAAAGTTGAATGGGGTCAAATTAGGAAAGAGTAATGGGTTAAAAATTGAGAACAGGTGAGTGCAGGTGCCTCTTGATGCAAGCAAAGGAGGGAGCTTTGATGAGAACTTTGTGAGGATAGAGGAGACCTAAAGGAGTGTGTGGCCTGAGAAGGAGCCATGAGAATAGAGAACAGTCCTTAAAAAGCAGGGGCCATGTCACAGCAGCGAGAATAGAGAACAGTCCTTAAAAAGCAGGGGCCATGTCACAGCAGCAAGGGATAGATCCAGAGCACAGCTGGAGAAGCCCGACTTCTTCATGGGAGGAAGAGCAGGCAGGAAGGGAGTGAGGACCCAAGAATGCACCTGGAAGGTTAGGGAGCTCGCCTTGGTGTTGACCCCAGGATAGAGGAGTGAGTGCTCTTCTGTCCGAGAGAAGAGGGTGATAGAGCCACTGCTGCTGGGAATTCCTGCTGGGGTCACTTTTCACCTTGTTACTGGGAGTCTCAGCTGAGCCTCCCCTTGACCAGTCTCCTAAGCCACATGGGGACCTTAGTGCACTAAGGGGTGGGGGGCCAGCCAGGGTCCTGCAGCAGGTCCATACGCCTCCTGACTTCCTGCCCCAGGCTCTGCCCTTACCTGTCTCCCACCCACAGGTTCCCCTTCTACTTTGAGCTCAAGATCGCCTTTGTGATATGGCTGCTGTCCCCTTATACCAAAGGCTCCAGCGTGCTCTACCGCAAGTTCGTGCACCCAACCCTCTCCAACAAAGAGAAGGTCTGTTGGAACAAGGGACGCTCGCTTCCCACCTATCCTGGGTCAAGGCAGCCCAGTGCCTGCAGCCACGTGCATTCATGGCTCTCCCTGTGGGTGATCTGGGAGGGCCCTGGCCCCCTGGGGCAGGCAGTGCCAGGTGTGAACAGGGGCAAAGCAGGGTAGGACCCAGACCTCATCTCTTCCTCCAACCCCTCAGGAGATCGACGAGTACATCACACAAGCCCGAGACAAGAGCTATGAGACCATGATGAGGGTGGGCAAGAGGGGTCTGAATCTGGCCGCCAATGCCGCAGTCACGGCTGCTGCCAAGGTGAGTTGGGGGCAGACCCAGCTCCCAGGCCCCAGCTTGCTCATCTCGTCCCCCAGCCAGTCCCCTTTGCATCCACCTCATCCTCGAGTCAGTGAAGGTTTGGGGGCTTGTGCAGCTTGGGGTTCCCATCCTGCCTTTAACATCCCCCCACTAAAGGACTTCCACTCAGCAGACCACAGTTTCCTCACCCATCCAAAGGGAACGCGTGGCCCCCGCCTGTTAGAGCTGCCGTGGGATGGGGTGAGGATACCATGGGGAGAGCACCGAGTCCAGTGGCTGCCCGGTGCCCCATGGTGACCTCTCTCTCCACCCCGCCCCTTCTCCTCCGGTCCTCCCGGTGCGTGGTGGTGACCCCAGGGCCAGGGGGTGCTATCAGAGAAGCTCCGAAGCTTCAGCATGCAGGACTTGACTCTGATCCGGGACGAGGATGCACTGCCCCTGCAGGGGCCCGACGGCCGCCTCAGAGCCAGCCCCGGCAGCCTCCTGGACACCATTGAAGACCTGGGTACAGGCCGGGCCCAGGGCGGGCAGGGGGCAAGGGTGAGGAGGCTGGGTGTGAGAGAGACCAGAGCCCTGCTCTCCTTTCCTCCCCAAACCAGGGGATGACCCCACCCTCAGCGTAAGGTCAGGCACCAACCAGGCAGATCCCCGGACAGAGATCTCTGAGGATGACACGGGAGACAAGGCCCCTAAGAGGATCAAACCCATCAAAAAAGTGCCCAAAGCCGAGGTGAGACCCAGGCCAGAGCTTGGGGAAGTGGGAAGGGCTTGTGGCTCCAGGCAGAGCCCTCCGTCTCCCTCTCTTCCTTCCACAGCCACCGGCTTCCAAGACGCTGAAGACCCGGCCCAAGAAGAAGACCTCCGCAGGGGGTGACTCAGCTTGAGGCCCCAGCCCCCTCCCCGCAGGCTGCAGAATCCCGGCTCCACACTGTGCCAGCAGCCCTCAGCCTCAGGCCCCGGGGCCTCTCAGATGGCTGTTTCCGGTGCCTCCCAGTGGCCATTCCCCTGGAAGAGCTTGGGAAAGAGAAGGGAGGCCCTGCTGTGGGGGGCCGAGGGTAGAGGCTGGACCCAGGAGCTGAGGATGGAGCCACTCGAGGAGGTGCGGGCCCCTCAGAGCCCAAATGCTACTCTCCCCACTCCAGCCCTGACCCCGCCCACCCAGTGCCTTGCTGAAGACCATGGCCATCCCCTTGTCCTAACATGTGGCCCCACTGCTCTCCCTGAGTCAGGGTTGGCGACCAGTCACAGCCCAGATTGACTGGAGCCTGAAGGCCCAGCAGAGGAGGGAGTGGGGAGGCCTCGGAGAACCCGGGTTCTGGGCCTGCAGGTGTGAATGGAGGACAGGGGCTCAGTGTGTGTTTAAGTGACCAGGAGCCAGGCCAGAGCTGCAGCTGGGGGTGTTGGGTAGGGCTGTGAGCTACCTGTGCCCACTGAAAGGTGGGGCTCCAGGGGTGTGCATGTGTGAAAGAGACAATGTGTGTGTGTGTGTGTGTGTGTGTGTGTGAGAGTATGTATCTTTCTGGGTCTAGAGCTGGGGGCTTTTGAGTAAAGGACTTTCCCTCCAGCAGTAACCTCCCCCTACCCAACCCAGCTGCCCTTTCCCCCCTCGGCCCTCCCGCCTACTCTCTGAGCCTCAGAGGACCCCAGCCCATGAGAGAGTAGGGCTCCAAGGGGCCTCTCGCCCACTGCTGTGCCCTTGATCCGCTCCTCTCTTGCCTCCTCCTGTTCCTGCCCCAGGACGGGGCTCCACCGCTCTGGGCCCTCAGTGAGGCCCCTGCTGAGCCGATTCCTTTCCTCCTCTCCTGGGGGGCCCATCTTCCTTCCCCCTAAGGCCCTCTTCCTGTGCCAAGCAGGCTAGGCCCCCTGTAAGCAGACCCCTGTCAGAGCCCAGCCTTTGCCCCACGCTTTGCCCCAGCGTCTGCCGTGGCTTCCTTCCATCAGGGCTCGGAGGAGCGTGTGAAGAAGAAAAAGGTATTAGGAGCCAGGGGGCTCCAGATCCATGGGAAGAGGGTGCCCAATGGACCTTTGGCACTGGATGAGCCAATAAACCAAATTCTGGCACCTCATTTGTTTTGGCCTCTGTGCTTTGTTCTTGGTCTACCAGTCCACAGGTGAGAAGGACTTCAAGTGAGAAGCCAGGGCTCAGCTGTGGGATGGAGAGGTGAAGAAGTCAAACTGTGAACTCAAGAGATCTGATCTCCAAGAGATAGGCTTGAGGTGGTTCCATCTGGGAAGATGGTTTGGAGGTTCAATATAGAGCCAGGGGGGCTGGAAAGAGCCAGGACTTATGAAGGGCAAGGGACCACCCTCAGAGGTTGTCCTGTCCCTCAGAATCCTACCCGGAGACCCCTCTCCATTCTGACACCTCACAGAAAGTGCCAGGGTGTAAGTTCTAGGGGCAAAGATCATGATGAAGCTCCAGGAAAAAGAGAATGGGATATTGGGGGCTCCTGGCAGAGCCTGGGGACTGGATCGCCATGGCCTAGAAAGGCTAAAAAACAGTGGAGAGGGACGGTGAGCCAGACACCGAAGGGAGGATCTAGGGATGAAGGGAGACATGGAGATGAGGAACCAGCCTCATGGTTCACATCTGACCCTGAGGACAAACAAGGCAGACAGGGACCCAAGGGCCGGAGCCAGTGAGGCAAGCCCATGTGGCCTGTGGAGGGATGGTTGGAGCCCTGAGCTGCTGGGCTGGGGTGGAGGAGAGAAGGAGGGAGGCTGTAGGGCCTGGGGTCAAGTTCTGGGGAGGTGGCGCCTAGGTCACCAGGGTCACCACTGATGGGAACAGAAACCAGGAGGAGGGAAAAGATGGCAGAGGAGCAGAGGCAGCATCAGAAGAGACAAGGGAAAAGAGCAGAGCGGGAGGGGGTGAAGAGAGTGAGGGAAGGAGAAGGAAGGGTGAAGGAAGCTAGAGAAACAGCAGCTCAGCCTTACAGAAGGAAAATAGAGGAACCAGAGCTGGGGACGGGGTGGGGAGTGTGAGTGGAGACCTAGCTCCAGGCCCTGGACCCCAGGATTGACAAAATGTCCCTACATTTTGGGAGAGGCTTTCCTCTCCCTTCCCTGGCATCACGGGGGCATGTCCTTCTGCCAAACTTGAGCCAGCTGGCCAAGAACCTCCCGAACTGAGGTGCCCGTGGAGATTGGGGGCGGAGGGAGGGAGGCGTGTGAGATGCCCTTTTCATCTTTCCTGAAATTCTCCAGTCAATAGCGCTCTGAACAGCATTCCTTTCACCATTGCCCTCTGGGCAATTTGGCCCCTTTCTCTATCAGAAAGGAGAGGAAGTGTCAGAGTAGAAATCAGGTGAGAGACTCCCTTGTTCTAGAAAGATCTCCAGAGAGTAAGTTGCTTGCGTCTCCTGATAGCAGCTACCATATGGCCAGGAAAGCAGTTTAGGCCTATCTAACCTAAATCCCATTTGCTGCATTTCACACACACACACTCACACAACTCGCACTCAGATTACACACTTCCATCCACAGGGAGCAGTGGCCAAGGGGGTCGCTGTCAGAGTCCACATCTCCAGGCTCTCCCTGCACATCTGGGTTTCCCTGTGTCAAAAGAAGATGCTTAGATTTCCAAGTTCACTGGTCCGTTGCCATGGAAACATTGTCTCCTAGACCTCCACACAGGGTCTGACCCCTGCGGTGCTGGGGAGGAGAGGAGAGATGGAGGGTCACAAACAGGATGGGGGAGGAGGCTGGTGAAGCACATCTGGGTCTACGTGACCCCTTGCTGTCTTATTCACCTGGGGTCACCTGCCCTCTCCCCTCCGCCTTAGTAGATCTCTCTAGGCCAGGGGAGTGGGAAAGAGAAGTCATGACAGAGATGTCTGGCAGGAGCTATGTGGAGGGTGCTTGATCACTGCCTGGAAACCCACTGGGCACTGAGAGAGATAAGCTTTGAAGTGGGGGCTGAGGTCTAGCCCTGTGTCCCACACCCAGACCATGTTGGGGACACTGGGCAGCCCTCCAGGCCTGAGGTCCCTGGCTAAAATGGTCCTCAGGCCTGAAGCGGTTTCATTCTGCTTCCCCTCCCTTCCTTGTGTGTGCCCCACACTAGGAGAACCTGCTTAAAATGTGATTTCCAGGCTGTGACGTCAAAGGAAAGCCTGCAGCTCCAGCCTATGCCAGCTCTTCCTTGATCAGCAGAGCTGAGCCCAGCCCTTGCTCAGCCTGGAGGAAAGGAGGTTAGGTAGAGGAGGGAGGGTCTCTGGGGGCCTCTGATCCTCATATATGTGGCATTCAGAATAATGAGAGACTATTTTGAGGCCAAAGTGCTGGCTTCCCCATTGCCTTAAATGCCAGCGAGTACGTGATTATCTCCGTCACAGATTCCCCCTAACCCCAGGTTTGCCCTCTCTAGCTGGGTCAGGCGTGCATAAAGGAGGAGGGCACCTTAAGTCTTAGAGCCATTTGCGTTCTGCCCGAGAGCTTGTCGCAAATCTAGGCTGGAGGCAGTGATGGGTGGGAAGGATGCCTGCAAGGAGGAAAAAAGCCCACTAGGTGGCGCAGCTCACCCCCCCATTGTGGGATTCCCCGGCCCTTGCTGGGGGATAGTCTTTCCTTCAGCAGTCAGTTGGCTTTTAAGGTCCGCTCAGCAGGATGCTTTATGCCGCAGTCCCTGGAATCGGAGGTTCATGAAGAAAGCATCCTTGTGGGTGAATAGGCAGATATGAATTCTCAATCACTTCCCAACCCCAGTTTGTGTGCAGAGGAGATGGTCAGACCCAGCAAGCAGGTACTCCCTTTGGGGAAGGATCAGGCATCTCCTGGGAGCAAGGCAATTGCCAAGCTGACCCTAGGAGGGTCATACAGCCCAAAGGACCCAACTTGGGCTTCTAAAATATTATCAAGAGAGGGCCAATTCGGGCGAGCGAGAGGGACACTCACCTAGATGCAGGGTTCCCTGGAGATGACTCCCTTATGGCCACAGTGGCAGTCCCAGGGCTGCCCCTAGGTTTCCCTGTCCCCTGCCCCTTCCCTGATTTTCATCATGGGTACTGTAGGGCTGAAAAAGGAGACAAAGACCCTAATCTTCAGACCCTTGAACCCCAAGGTATTTTTTCCAGCAGCCTGAGCTGACTCCTCAATGACCTACCTTTGCCTGACCTCTTTCCCAAACTGACCCCACCAGCCCCACACACCTAATGAATTACCCTCTTCTTTTGTCCCAGCCAGATGAGTGATCAATAAATAATGCTGCCTGAAATATTAATGGCAAGTTTTACACCAGCATCCCTTAGCCGTGCCTGTCATTGGGGAACTTGAGAGTTGACAGAGAAATGCATGGCCCCCAAAGAGCTCCTTTCTTCCTCTTTTCTTTGCCAAGATTTTGACCTGTTCCCGTCTCCACCAGATCATGATTCATTGCCATTAGGTGAGAAGAGGACGGGTCCCCCAGAGACTGACACAGGCAGCCTCTATGGGGAAGATGGGGTGAGCTAAACCAAGCAGCGACCCTTCTCGATTCCTTTGTCTCCTCTGATGCAAGTGAGATCCCATTTCCTCTGTTCCATGTCCATCTTGGACCTGCTGGGTCCAGCTTTCTGAGTGGCAACTCAGAAGGAGACCTGGGGCTTCCCTCCTCCCCCTGCTTCAACTATTTTGGAGCCTGAGCAGAAGGGACTCATGTGCTCCCAGACTTCTGGCCCTGGCATTCTCTTCTGGCTTTCTTCTCTCTGGAAGAAGAGGAGGAAATGGAAGCTCTTAGCCCTCTTGAGCCCACTGGTGGGCTTCCCAGGGGGCCAGCGCCCTCCTTCGGGGAAACCAGGCCCACCCAAATCTTTGAACATGCAGTGCCCTCTGCTCACATGTTCTTTGTCTCCTGCTTCACTTGGTAATCTCTTGCATGCGCTTCAAGTCTCAGCTTAGATGTGAC